TCATGGAGCTGAACATGCTGAACGGCATGACGAGGTGCGGAGGCACTTTCTGTGCATGTGACTTTGCGACGAGCCTCTGCCAATCGCCAAGCCAAGTTCTCATGAAGAAAGGGTCCAACATAAGAACCTCAGGCCGTGGAAATTTGGGACTTGTTCTCATTTTCCAGCCCTTGAAACATTTGGTCTGTATGGGACACACCATAAAACCCAAGGTATCCCAAGTGGCTAGTGCATGCTGGCATCTGTGGAACTTCGGAAGAAGCATCTGCGAAAAACTTCACCGACGACTCGACATGAAGCGCTTCCCCCGGACGCCTTTCAAGTCGAGACTTGTGGGATGCTGACACCAAGGTGATCCGCACAAAATCCAAAGGAAACTGTAAAATCAGAAGCTGAAATCTCAGCTTCTGAAACAAATATGGAAACACTGCTGGAAACTAAATCCTCTGAGCTCCTCACAAGCACACAAGCTTCAATTGTCCAGCAGTTTGCCTTTGGCTTCGCCAACAAGATGTCACATCGACGAGATGCGACCAGCTGGGTCACATAGAAACAGCGTTGAACATGGGGAAGGATTGGCATGGATTGACTAGCCCAATTTCATGCAAAATATGCAATTTCGCTACATATCTCAACCATATCTCAACCCTACCCCGTACTTGCCAATGCTGGGCTTATTCGGCCTGGATCGCCCTCCTGCACTAAGTTGAACAGCGCTGAGGGAGCGCTTCGTGTCCCACACGGGGCCATGTTCGAGCCAGAACTGAGTCAATGCCGCTGCATAGAAGCCTGACCACGGTGCCATAGCATCAAGATATATCAAGATATATCAAGATGCACCACATGAAGTAATAATAAGTAATATGAGAGAAACGGCGGAATTTTCACAGGACACCAAAATTGCTTCAACACAGAGCTACGAGTAGCATGAAGTCGCAATGTTCGTGCTCACACGTCAAAAAAATGGCTGAAACATGTTGAATCCCAACTCACCCGCCTAAGCGTCTCACGCCCGATTGCGCATGCAAATTGGCCAGAAGCTCTGTGGGATTCTTGTCCAGAGATGCAAGCCACTCCTTGAGAAGCCACCGCACTGAGAGGCCCACAGCTACTCTACAGATGAGACATGCCTTCATTTCTAGGCTCCTAAGTTGACATTTACGCCTTTTTCATCCTTTTTCCCCTTTTATTCTGCAATATGTTGCAAAATCTACCATCGCACTTGGCAGTGAAGGTAGCCTTGCATGCCTTGCCAATGTTGGTTTCCTTCTGCAAAATGGGTCCAAGCTGGTCCAAGACGGTCCTTGGTAGCTTTTCGGGCATCTTCATCTGGCAAGTCCAGGAGCTGCATGCCAGCCTCGCCACAAGTCAGTCGTTTGGCAGTGATGATGATGATGATGATGATGAGGATGAGACGACGACGACGACGATGATGATGATGGAACATCTTGGGAGGGGTTCGACCGAGGAATTCAGACATCCAGGACCTCAATGCACCTCATGCAGTCTCGCATGCTGACGCTCAAATGGCACAGAAAGACTTGATGACATATAGGGTATCTTTTGGATCACGGCCAATTGGTTCTCGAGTGGAATAATATTATAATGTAATATATGTAATTAATATAATGATATGGTGGAATAGCTTGAAACTACAGTATATGAAACCGCATCGAGCGCATGCTCCTCATTGCTCCTCATTCCAAGCTGCATCTCCATGACATTCCATGACTCATTCGATATCATTCAATGACCATGAACTGCCATGAAGCGCCATGAGTTGGGTGCTAGAGCCTGCTCTGACAGCACAGGAGGCGCATGGATCAGCCAGGATAGGTCTCGAACGACCTGCAGATCCACATGGCGCATAAATGCGCATAGTAATGACATGTAATAACTAAGCATGGTAAGTATATGTAAGTATGGATGCATGCAGCTTTGCAACACATCAAGTTACAGCCAAGTGCTGGACCCTGCAAGGTTCAGCATTGTTCAGTAGATATGCACTGCCCCTGCCTTGTTCTTGTACACTTCTCCGCCGTCCATGTTTGAAGTCACAGAGTGGCGCCATGTGAGAAGGCGCAGTGACGCAAACTTCTCTTGGGGATGCACCAACAAACGGGTAACAAGCTCATCCGTGATAGCTCTACTGGAAACCAGCGGTCTCACAAGTTCAGCAAGAGAACATCCACTGCTCCGCAAATGCTCTGCAGCTTCTCTTGGTTTTAATCTGGATGGCTACTACAAGGATGGCTACTACAAGGGATGAAAGGACGTGCCTGGCTACAGGGTCTACCTGCCATTTGTTGCCCCAAAACTTAGATACTTGGATCATGTTGCAACATGTTGCAACGCTTGTGTCGGCAACCCTGCGCGGCCAGATCGAAAGCTGCATCAAGATTCAGAATCACAACACGTCAAAATATCATAAACACCATAATCATAAGCATTCATAAGCATAAACACATTGTGAACACGTCTCACATCACACGCAGAAATCTCCGCGTCTGTACCATCTATACTGATCTGTACCTTTCACGTGCTGCTCGGGCCTGGCCAAAACCGATTCCTCCAACAAGTTCCTCTCGCCACCGCCTGGGATGCGACGGGCAATCCACGTTGCACATGGCACCCCATCAATCCATCACATCATAGGCTCAAAATAAAATGCAATGAATTTTAAACATAATAAATTCTATAGATCAATATGTGCACACACATGCACACACGCATGTATATGTATATGTATATATAATTATATATATATATATCATTCTATATATTCTGATAGACAAGTATGAATGAGTCACACATCACGTCCAGTTTCTATCTTTTCCGTCTCTGGCCATGTCTCTGCAAGGCACCGAATGAGAGTACCACGGGCTTTTGCTGATGTCCAGTTCGCCGAAGGGTTTCGAGCGAGGCCCTTTCCAGAATGCCACCTAAACGCACTGGCTTGTCAATGCTGTCCACAATGCTCCGTAGAAACACCTGACAAGGTTGCAAATAGTTGCAAGGCACCACGCAAGTGTTTGGAGTTTGGAGAGAGGTTCCCAATGGTTTCTACACTTGCTGGTGCTTGGGCCGCTCGTAGGGCAAAGCGCCATGAGTCCTTCTGTCCAGCCGGAACACAGGACATTGGACCAGTCGAAAACACACCAGTTGGGTGAAGACGAGGTACCACGTCATAGGATGCTGTTGTAGATTCCTTATTTTCAATAGTTTTGTAGAAGTGCTGTGTACCGATTGACCAATGCCAAGATCCTGTAGTGACAAAATCTGTGAAAATGCGGGTAGCTTGGTGGTAAATTATTTGGTACCTGTTGTGAAAAAGACTGCGATCATAAATGAGAAAGTCTTGCATGCACAGTCCGCTCTTCAAGCAACCCAAGCATCAACACACTAGTCCAGGGATGCTCAAGGTGTCATATGTGTCATCATTGAACATGAACATTCAAAGATACAACACTTGTTCATACTTGTTCTATATCCGTAATCCTGATCTTGACATATCTTGACATTCTGCTCTGCATCGAGTGGCTGAAGACAAAGCCATCAGAATCTCCGGAGCGTCGGGACCCAAATGTCGAAGAAAAGCCAAGCGTCGTTGGTCCCACATGGCATTTTGGAATGCCAAGTCAGGCCTTTTTGAGATGGGGTCAAACAATGATCAGATCGGCCAATGGTCGATCAATGATGACACATGCATACAAATGCACTCTTACATTACATTATTATACATTATTCATCATTATTCTCACGGATCGAACATCTTTGGAGATCTCACCAATGAAGAACTCCCAACTACCGATGAGAGATGAAGGGAGGCTTGCGTGATCCTCATGTCATGTGATGATCGTATCCATTCTGCTATGCCGGACCTCAAGGCTTGCACCGATGGGAGCAGGTGGCGCTTCTGATAGGCCACGTGGGTCTTTGTTGCCTCATAGGCGTATCTCTCATCTTTGAGTAGCCGCCGGCAGCTTTCGATGATCACGACAATGCGAATGCCAGGCAACAGCCAACAAGCCTGACGGAATGAAACATATTGAAACATGACATGCAGTCTTAGTGGCAGTTCGGTTTCCCTCATCTGCCATACCCAGGTTGCTGATCTGATAGTGATGCGCTATCCAAATGCAACCTGGCGACGCCAGTTTCGCCAGAGAAGTCACAGCGAAAAAGCTCGGAGGCTGGCCGGCCAAGCACTTTGAAGAGGCGAAAAAGAAGATCTTCAAAGAAACAATACGTGTCCTGGCAGAGTGGTGAACCGTCAGTTTGCGACAAAATGTTGATACACCGGGCCAGTGCTACAGGAACATCACCCTGCACCGCCATTCCGACACCATCTTCCGAGAGCACTTGTTCAGTGCAGGCTGCAACTAGTTCTCTTCAAAACCACTTAACATGTTACACCGGTTTGTAACAGTGCAAACAGGTGAAGTAAGTTAGCGAACAACAACCTCCGAAACCACAGACTTAATAAGGATCTTAAAGGTGGTAGTTGCCCTGATGTAGAAATTCTTTCCGACCGGCCACTAGTTGTCGCCAGCCTCCTGAACTTCGGAACGCCAGTTCAATCAAAGCATCCCAAACCAACATAAACCAACTGCCAAAAAACATCAAAAAGCAGGGAAATCACGCAATGATCGCTGAAACACTGTAACATGAATCGCACATGAATGTCACGGAACATGCATCTCATGCATCTCATGCATCTCATGCATCTCATGCATCTCATGCATCTCATGCATCTCATGCATCGCTGACGCTCCATATCGCTCCATACTTCTCCTCTCGCTCGCATGGCCGGCCACAATCAACGGGGAAGAAGCAGCCAGCAGCGCCGTGGCCGCAGTAGCTGAAAAGAAGCAACGGAGGTTCCGGAGGTTCCGGAGGTCCCGGATCCACAAAATCTTTGGGCCTCAGTGTCATCGGATGTCATCGGATGTCATCGTCACTCTTCATCACCGACATCGACCTCGAAAATTTCATAGCACCAGCATGACCTTCCATTACCTTACCATTGTCGCTGTCCATTGCTGTCCTTACTAGCCTATGCTAGCCTTACATGTCCTTACTATTTCGCCAGTGCGCCTCCCCATCTCCGACTGAACCTTGTCTAGAGCATCTGCCACTTCTGAAAGCCAGTCTTCTGTGGCTGCCTGGCAACAAAGTCTCACCAAGTGTCAGGGCACAGCTGTCAAAACACCATTAAAAGGCTGCAACACTGTCGCATGAAAACTTAGAATTGAATCTAGTTGAAATCACCGAATTATACCGGGATTCTTCCGAACCAAATGTTCTACTTTGCCAAACAATAACCCTGGCCGCCCTGGCCTCAAGTTTTGCATATTTATTAGGCCAATGTAGGTGAAAAAGCACCGCAAGCTGTGCTTAAAACCATCTGGCAGTGCCGCGCCATGCCGTGCCATGCCGTGCCTTCATCCCGCTGAGCGTTTGATCCTCAGCAGAACGCACCGAGAAGTCCATTGCCCGAAGTTTCTCTGCCAGGGCTGCAGAGACCTCGACGGATCGGGACAAGGGCGCTCGGATCCTCAGATTTCAGTGGCGGTGAGCCACAAGCCATCGCAAGCCACAAGGTGAGCCGAGCTATAGCCGAGGTGAACCATGGCAACAATTTATACATTTGCATTTGCAATATCCGGAATGACATCTCTGGAAGATCCTTGGAACCTTGGAACAATGCAAAATGGAGAGCACCTGCACTAGCACCTCTCGCCCCTCTTCGTGATTATCTCTTAATAACACGCCACTGGTCGGTGGTGTGGATTGTCTTGGGTCTTCCAAATAGTCAAATAAAGGCGCATCCACCGTTCAAAAGTTACCAACAGTTAGAGAATTCAACCGAGGAGCGTGTACGCACCATTGGCCAAAAGCAGCGCCAATCGTCGCGGCATGGTGCACGACTAGCTCCGTCATGACGGGGCAGCACAGTCAGGTCTGGAACAGTCTCAACACAAACAACTTAGACCGCTGAGAGTCACTGTGAAAACAGTGAAAATCGTGACCATGCTGTACGCATATCATGCGGAACCATACGGAGTGAAAGTGGTTCAAGTTCAGCCTGTATAAGGTAGTGCAAGAATTGTTGCAACACTTCCATGCTTGCAATGATATAAAAGAAACCTGAGGAATTGAAAGCCCTTGGAAAGTACACAACACATCCACCACTCAAGCTCCATAAGCCAGTGTAGCAGCTACATGAGCTAAAGGAACCTACAACAAGCTTGTTGCGTTTGTTACTTCTCGCATCAAGGACCTAGAAAAAACTCAGCTAAGGACCAAATGGGAACAAAAAAACTCAGGGCGTCTAATCAATCTAATCATATCTAAACATGTATAATCACTTGCTCTTCTAGGTGGTCATCGCAGCTGCTCCCATGCATCCTCAAATGATTTGGCATTTGTTTCTTTCTGCAGGATGTACGAAGTAGATTTCGGAAGGGAGTCGCAAACAGAAAGTGCAAAAAACGTGGCGCTACTGTTCACTTCGGCTGCGAAAAGCGTTAGCAACCTGCAATATGTGCAGACCATGGAGCAGCCGGTGTGCACACTGCCAAAGTGGAGACCGACGATGAAATTTAGCACGAATATAGCCATATCATCAACAAAAACTCCGCATCTCATTCAAAGATTTCATGTGGTTGAGCAAGTAAACTAAGTAATCTCACACCAGATTCTAGAAAAAAATGTATAACAAAAGTTATCTATCTCGGCTCACAGGATGCCAACACAGTTGAGAAGATTAAGACAATTAATGCACCCGAAGGTGCCAACTTGAATTGCGGCAATGGTTCGCCACCACACGTTTGTGATCGGCCAATCCATTTGCTCCGAAAAGATTGCTCTGTATGACTCGAACTAGCTGGTGGTTTGAGCGCTTTCAACCCAGCTGAAAAATTAGCCAATTGGAATCATCATGATATGTTTGAGTGTTTGAAAGCACCCACCAGTCAACCAGCGAAATACTGGGCCTTCGAGAATCCACAATCCTGCATGCAGCAGCCCTTCTGATTGGGACCTCCAAAAAACGCCAACTAGCTTAACTAGTGGCATCTAGTGGCGCAAACTCGTGCATTAACTGCCAGAGTAGAGGTGCAAACCCAAGCTTGCCTTATGACTCGGCAAGACTGAACAGGGCATGTCTCAACGTGGATCACCTGAGACCAGTTCAAGCCCATGCGATGAACTGGAACCAGAAAACATGCATATTCATGCTTAGAGAAAGGCAATCCGAAGGGCAATCCGAAAAATAAGGCGGCGAGTCACATAGTCTGCAAACGTCTGATATCAATGATATAACGGTGGAATTCTATGGAATTCTGCTATGCTAGGCAGTTCTGGCATGAAACCGTTTTTTTTCATCATGCCCTCGATTGGAAAACGATCATGCTTCTAGATGCGCTCATAGGTCGGGAATGGTATAGGAATGGTAAGGACATGCCACGACTTACGTAAGATCAGGTGGATCAGGTGATACTTTCAACTTCCGGGTCGAGGTCTTCTTCCACTGTGCGAATGGCAGCGAAGAGCTGAAATACTCAGACCTCAGATCTACACGGATCCATATTTGTCACATCCCAAGAATCCCAGGCTCGTGACACCGGTGACACCCGTGACTGGAATTTGAGATTCTGCGAGTTCTGCTCACGTTTAAACGTTTGCATCCGTCTGCCTGGTGGGGCCGGTTTTGCACTCTCCGTCTGGTTGCGTTGAACATCAACCATGGAACATGGTTAAATGATGAATGTACATCAAACATGAAAATGGCTGAATGCAACGCCATGCAACACCCAAGTTTGCCAAGCGTCCAGGTATCCTTCTTCAAAGTTGTATATTTTTTGGTCACCGGCGGGGCCATCTGCCACAAGTCGTTCACATCTATTTCTTTGTTCAATTGCTCCACGAAGCCTCATGACAACACCCCAGCTCAAACATATTCAAACACGTTCAAACATGCTCAAACATACAGTATCAGTACAATACAATTCAAGCAATGACATCTTTGAGGCCTCTGCCCATATCTACATGTCAGATCGAAGGCCCTTCCGGCCAAATCAAGAAGTCGGACTTGTAACGCTCACTGGTGTGCTACATTATGCTACAGCTTTGGTTGGGAGCTGCCGGCAAGAGGCTGATGGCATATTCATGAGCCTGTACCTGCCAAGCTTCGTTTCGGATCAAAAGAATAGGTCTTTCCTAACATTCTCACAGGGACATACGAGCACGGAAAAACATGGAAAACCTTCTTCAAAGGACCCAGTTTCACCAATTGAAATAGAAGACTACACATTACTACACCACCGCTATGTATCAAAAGCATCGAACTTGGGTCGAAATGTCACAGAATCAGGGGCTTATCAGGACTGACAATTCTATTCACCGTGTCCTTACGATAAGCATCGATAAGCAATCAGCTGAATCAGCTCTGAGGAGGCAGTACCCAATGGCTTCAATGGAGTTAGCATGGAGAAGGCATGGCATACATGGCATTGCTGAATCATAAAACTTGTGCAGTACATCTTTCATCATCTTTCCAAACTAACTAGGCTATATTGCAAAAGATGGTGCGCATTGGTGCTCCAAACTATGCCCATCCATGCCCCACATCCCATCCCAGCCTGCACAGCACCTGCTGTGGCAATGATGTTGCAAAACTCATCAACGTTGATAGCCACCAGCTTGGCGAAACCTGTAGAAACAGCACTGGGAGGCCGCCACTTCCCAAAACAGAGCCGCACTTTGAAAATGGGAACTGACCCAAAGCTGAAGATTGTGCAGAGACAGCGGCTCAATATACTCAATGTCTGGCACATTGCACAAATGCAAGCAGGCGACTGACGGAGAGGAGGTCCCCAACATGAAACCACTCAGTCCACAAGCACATTTCTGAGATCCACTGCCCAAAGCGAACCCTTGTTGGATCGTCGTTTTTCAAGTAGCTGAGTGCTCCATGCAAAGTGAAATACGTTGCATCAGCTCTGCAACCTGAGCCCGACTGGCCAAGAAAATCCAAGAAATACAAACATACTTCACATACTGTGCATACCTGTCCTTGACCGAGATTCATGATAAAACCCAATGAAAACCCATGAAATAGCCATGAAGAATGGATGAAGAACGGCATTGGTGCTGCTCGTTTATGGCATGTAATGGCATGTAATGGCATGTAATGGCTTGTATGGCATGTATGGCATGGGCCTGGCATGTATGGAATGAGTAAGAAATGTGATAGAATGACAATGATGGAAAAATGTCCCATGCACCAGGCAACCGTGGCAAAAGACCACGTCATCCTCCGCAGAATCCAAGATTGCCACAGCCCTCTGTGCCAAGGTCTGCATGATGTGATTTTCTTGAACGCGCATGCCATTGGTCAGAAGCTGATCTACAAAGGGCAAATGTGCCAAGCAATCGCTGTAGCGGGCTAACTGGAGCTCAGCCTGGTGAAAAAAACTGGAAACAGCGGTGACCAAAGCTCTGAGTCTTTGGCAAGGCTGTGGGAGCAAGACATTGTACAGAGTTGTACGGTGCAACACTTCCTTGACAAAGAAAGAATATATGCATTGTCCCAGTATCCAATTTCCATTTACTTACTTTTGTCTGCATATCTTTGCAGGATTTTTATGGATTTTTAAGATCTATCTATTCATCCATCACTTTCCAAGGTACTTGTCACAAGTCTCAAGAAGGTGCTGCAACATGTTTGCCACATTTATTCAGTTTGCCGGCCTGCAGTGATTTGGAGAGGTAAGCGAGGATGTACGGATCATGCGAATTTGTCTCTCGTTGGTGATACGTGTATTGCAGGAAGCGGGTGATCCTCTGTGAGAGGTTCGACGAAATATTGTTGGTGCGCAAGAAGCGACGCAGAAGACCAAACTGCTGCGTCTCCTGCCACAAGTGCCACTGTCAACCACGAAACAGTAAATTGAATATCATTGAACCAAGAATATTAAAATATTTATTGAGCTTATATAATTCATGGAAGTGACACCAATAAAGCTCAATCTTCCGAATAGGGTTGCCTGATGATGCCAGAGCGTGCCAATTATATGCACCCCCATTAAATGAACTTGCTGCACTCCGTCATACTCTTTAGCCATTTCTAGTGCCCTCCGCTTCACATCAGTCCTCCATTCGTCGGCCTTGAAGGGTGCTCACCAAAGAGGTCATGGAACTGATAATGGTCGAGAAATTCACCTCAGATTCTCAGATAGCCAAATAGTGTATATATTATAATTACAATAAATATATTAGAATATATATATATAGTTATTTAATGTTACTTAATGTCTCGGGGTTCCAAGTTGGATCTTGGAAGCCGAACACTTCAACAAGCAATCGAACACACAGTATCACATATACTTGCCCAGTGCGTCTACATTGTCTACATATTAAGCATGTAGGACAGGAGTGACAGAAGCACCGTGCCCGCGCGTGTGCGGGGCAGGTGCGTCTGCGTCTTTGTCTGCACTGCACACAGGGATCAAGAAAACACTAGAAAACTGGTGCTCACTTGGAACCAATCATATCTGGCCATACAGTCAATCCGTGCAGAGCCAGTCCGTGAAGCTCAAGTTGCAAGAGAGATCAACGCTACCATCAGCGAATAAGTGCCCTCTCGTTCCTAGGCCGCGTTCGCTCCCAAGCATGGGAGGGTTGAGGGCTTGCTGCAAATTTGCACAGAATACGGCTGGGCACAAGAAATGCCAATGTCTGATGGACCTGCTCTTCGGCATGCACATCTTGGCATAAAATCATTTCAATTGCACGCTGGTGATGGTTGGTGAAAGGCACGCCGAAAAGTAACGTGAAGCAGTTTGAAGGTCCCAAACTGCATTCAACATTGACATTAATTGATGAATAAATCAGTAGCCTGCGAGTGGCGGAGAGTGGAGCAAAGAAATAGTTTATAACCAGATCAATATAAAGTCCGGATCATCAGGTATGCAACTTGATTCAACTTGATAATCGTGATAAAACATGATAAACACATGATAAAACGTTTCTGCTACAACGCCGCTCACGCTCACAGCACGGTCTGAGTCTCATTCGTGGCCTCGATGTCCGTGCCCCCAATGCCAAGTTGGGAAAATGCCCATCTCCTCGAATGACTCACCATGACTCACCCGAATTATCTATCGGTCATGGATGGTCATGGTTTTGCAATGTTTGGCACAGACTTTGTGACCCGCATCTTTTTGCTAACACACTTTCAACTGGTCACTGCCAGTCAGACACCTTTTTGCTAACGCATTTTTCCAACATTCACAATATAATACTCATGGTGCCAATGAACTCCGTTCACTTCATTGACAAAATGTCGATGGTGCAATTGTATGCATCGTACCATAATATGACAAACCCAGATCTTCATGATTTCTGTGACTTCTCCCTACCCTACGCCAGGCAGTGTAAGATCGTGGATTTTCTCAGCTCAGGCCAGTGTCAAACTTGCAGTATACTGCTTGAAGAAAGTGTCCTCAGCGAGGGGGACTGGTTCCCATGCAAAACTGCGCAATGAAGTACAACAGTACAACATGTACCAACTATCGCCAATAATATCTGATAATGGGTAACGGCACTGGCTTTGTCAAAGAAAGGCGCGCTCTGAAAGTCCAATGGTTTGAATTTAGTTTATCTACACTCCCCCATGTTTCCATTTGGGTCCGGAATTGTTTTGTTTTTTTTTTTTCCGTTCTGTTTTTTACTGAGAGCGTCTGAGCGAAGGGTTCTTCTAATAGTGGGGGTCTGTCAAATCACATCTTCTCATCTTCTCATCTTCACATCTGTTCATCTTCACATCTTCTCGTCTTCACATCTGTTCATCTTCACATCTTCTCATCTTCACATCCTCACATCTTCACATCTTCTCATCTTCACATCTGCTCATCTTCTCATCTTTACATTCTCTCTTGCCCTCTTGCTCTCTTGCCCTCTTGCTCTCTCCTTCTTTTCTATTTCTCTCTTGAAGGCGCGGGGCAGTGCCAACGAGACGGCACGAAACGCAACCCTTTCGCACGAAATGAAGTTCGATCGCCAAAAACTGGGGTAAATTGCGATTTCTCGGGTCCGGGCGCAACCCTTTCGCACGAAATGAAGTTCGATCGCCAAAAGCTAAAGTAGAACTGCGATTTCTCGCTGCCCGTCGCAACCCTTTCGCACGAAATGAGGTTCGATCGCCAAAAACTGAGGTAAAATTGCGATTTTGATTTGCGCTTGTCCGAGTGCAACCCTTTCGCACGAAATGAGGTTCGATCGCCAAAAACTGAAGTAAAATTGCGATTTTGATTTGCGCTTGTTCGAGTGCAACCCTTTCGCACGAAATGAGGTTCGATCGCCAAAAACTGAGGTAAAATTGCGATTTTGATTTGCGCTTGTCCGAGTGCAACCCTTTCGCACGAAATGAGGTTCGATCGCCAAAAACTGAGGTAAAATTGCGATTTTGATTTGCGCTTGTTCGAGTGCAACCCTTTCGCACGAAATGAGGTTCGATCGCCAAAAACTGAAGTAAAATTGCGATTTGCAAAGCTAACCCTTTCCACGAAATGAGGTTCGATCGCCAAAAACTGAGAAAAAATTGCGATTTCACGGGTCCGATCGCAAAAGCGTCTGTGTGTAAAAGCGTCTGTGTGTAACAGCGTGTAAAAGCGTCTGTGTGTAAAAGCGGCTGTGTGTAAAAGCGGCTGTGTGTAAAAGCGTCTGTGTGTAAAAGCGTCTGTGTGTAAAAGCGTCTGTGTTTAAAATTATCTGTGTTTAAAATTATCTGTGTGTAAAAGCGTCTGTAAAAGTGTGTGTGTGTACCATCTGAATAGATGTAAAACTTCTAATTTTGCAGGGGGCCACCGGGGTCCCGCGAGGGTCGGTGGCCAACGAAGACACCCCCCCGGGACCCGTGTAAACGTACCTGCATGCAGTGGCCCTGGACGGCAACCCCTAGCTTCAGTGGGGGCCGTAGCTGGGCACTGCAGTGACAGTCCCTGGGCGCCGTCGTGCGCAGCTGGGATGTCACAATATATATATATACACGTTAGGTCATTAAACCACTCCTGCTAGGTTTAACTGTGTTGTCTTTGCACGTCCGATGCATTCCACATCAGTAATTCGATAAGACATTTCTGAGCAAGTGTGTCACTCATGCCGATTTCCGACAAGGTGGTATGAGCCCTTCGGGGAAAGCCTTTCTAGGCTAACAATTGACAGTAAAACGATGTCTGAATTTACACTTTTGAATTAGTAATTCGTTTAAGTAAAGTGAACTGCTGGCCCTTTTTCATTGTCTCACTTGTCGATGTCGATGTGTTGAACAGCTGGCCGCCGTTTGGGCTATCACCTTTTTTCAACTTAGTAATTTGTCTAAGTAAAGTGAACTGCTGGCCCTTTTTCATGGTCTCACTTGTCGATGTCGATGTGTTGAACAACTGGCCGCTGTTTGGGCACTCACCCTTTTCTTTTTTGCATGAGGTTGAACAGGCAACAGGACATGCTTTTCAGGTGTGGTCACTTTCTTTTTGGTTTCTCGGTGAGGTTCAACTGTGCACGTAATTCATCTGAACACCGACAGCTGTCCATAGGGTTGACGCGAACTCAGGCCATTGAGCCTAACGAGGGGAAACTGCATGTCAACGTGGATGCATCATTTAATTAATTAACTAGTTCCCCATGGGTCCCTTTTCTCATGTGTTTCTGCGTTCTCCTCCCTTCAGGTAGGTTGGGTCCTGCGCGTGCCGAGGTAGGCTTAGGTTTCGCTTTGTTAGGTTGGTTCAGGCGCTTCCGTCCTCCCCCTCCTCCGCTGGTCTGGTTGCGTGTCCGTCGGCCTTCGCTTTTCTTTTTCCTTGCCTTTTCAGGGTTTTGCCCGTTTCGGGCTAGGTGTGTTGTGTTGGTGTTTGCTCTTTCCCTCTTCTCTTGCGTTCCCCTCTTCGCGTCCTGGTTAGGTAACTTTCATTCCACTTTCACTTTCATTTCATTTTCATCCTCATCTCATCTGCCCCGCTGTGGCGGGGCGTGTGTGTGTGTACCATCTGAATAGATGTAAAACTTCAAATTTTGCAGGGGGCCACCGGGGTCCCGGGGGGGTCGGTGGCCAACGAAGACACCCCCCCGGGACCCGTGTAAACGTACCTGCATGCAGTGGCCCTGGACGGCAACCCCTTCAGTGGGGGCCGTAGCTGGGCACTGCAGTGACAGTCCCTGGGCGCCGTCGTGCGCAGCTGGGATGTCACAATATATATATATATACACGTTAGGTCATTAAACCACTCCTGTTAGGTTTAACTGTGTTGTCTTTGCACGTCCGATGCATTCCACATCAGTAATTCGATAAGACATTTCTGAGCAAGTGTGTAAAAGCGTCTGTGTGTCAAAGCGTCTGTGTGTAACAGCGTGTAAAAGCGTCTGTGTGTAAAAGCGGCTGTGTGTAAAAGCGTGGGCCCCGGTCTTGGGATCGGTCCTCCTCCTCAACATCATCATCCTCAACATCATTATCCTCCTCCTCCTCCTCAACATCATCAGTCTCAACATCATCATCTTCCATTCCCTTGACCTCATCATCCTCGACATCATCAACCTCCACCTCACCTTCCGCAACATCAGCATTATCATACATCAGCATTATCATACATCAGCATTATTATACATCAGCATTATCACCCTTTTCATCATTCTCCTCAACGTTATCATCCTGAACATCACCATCATCCTCAACATCAGCATGAGCATCAGCATCATCATCATCATCATCATCGTCATCATCATCATCATCCTCTTTCTCAACATCCTCCTCCTCCACCCTGTCATCCTCCACTTCATCTTCCGCAGTATCATCCTCATCATCATCCTTGACATCATCAGCCTGCACCTCATCAGCCTGCACCTCATCATCCTTAACATCATCAGCCTGCACCTCATCGTCCTCAACATCATCTTCCGCAACATTATTTACATCATCAGCATCATGATCAGCAGCAGCATCAGCAGCATCATTTTCATTTGCACTCCTTGATCTCCGGGCTCCGTCCATGTCATGTCCGGGTGCAAGCCCGTGGGCCCGGGGCTGTCCAGAGGACGCTTCTCCACACTCCACACTCTACACTCCACACTTTACACTTTACACTTTACACTCCACACTTTACACTCTACACTTTACACTTTACACTTTACACTCTACACTTTACACTCCACACTTCACACTTTACACTCCACACTTTACACTTTACACTCTACACTCTACACTTTACACTTTACACTTTACACTCCACACTTTACACTATACACTCTACACTTTACACTTTACACTCCACACTTTACACTTTACACTCTACACTCCACACTTTACACTTTACACTTTAAACTTCACACTTTACACTCTACACTCCACACTTTACACTTTACACTCCACACTTTACACTTTACATTCCACACTTTACACTTTACACTTTACACTCTACACTTTACACTTTACACTCTACACTTTACACTTTACACTCCACACTTTACACTCTACACTCCACACTTTACACTTTACACTCCGCACTTTACACTTTACACTTTACACTCTACACTGTACACTCTACACTTTACACTCGACACTCTACACTCCACACTCTACACTTTACACTTTACACTCCACACTTTACACTTTACACTCTACACTCCACACTTTACACTTTACACTTTAAACTTCACACTTTACACTCTACACTCCACACTTTACACTTTACACTCCACACTTTACACTTTACATTCCACACTTTACACTTTACACTTTACACTCTACACTTTACACTTTACACTTTACACTCTACACTCTACGCTTTACACTTTACACTCTACACTCCACACTTTATACTTTACACTTTACACTCTACACTTTACACTTTACACTCTACACTCTACACTTTACACTTTACACTCTACACTCCACACTTTATACTTTACACTTTACGCTCCACACTTTACACTTTACACTTTACGCTCCACACTTTACACTCTACACTTTACACTCCACACTTTACACTCTACACTCCACACTTTACACTTTACACTCTACACTTTACACTTTACACTCTACACTCCACACTTTACACTTTACACTCCACACTTTACACTTTGCACTCTACACTTTAAACTCCACACTTTACACTTTACACTTTACACTTTACGCTCCACACTTTACACTTTACACTTTACACTCCACACTTTACACTTTACACTTTACACTCCACACTTTACACTCTACACTCCACACTTTACACTTTACACTCTACACTCTACACTTTACACTTTACACTCTACACTCCGCACTTTACACTTTACGCTCCACACTTTACACTTTACACTTTACGCTCCACACTTTACACTCGACACTCTACACTCCACACTTTACACTCCACACTTTACACTCCACACTCTACACTCTACAATCTACACTCTACAACCTACACTTTACACTTCACACTCTGCACTTTACACTTTACACTTGACACTTCACACTTTACACTTTACACTCCACACTTTATACTTTACACTTTACACTCTACACTCCACACTTTACACTTTACACTCCACACTTTACACTTTACACTCCACACTTTACACTTTACACTCCACACTTTACACTTTACACTCCACACTTTACACTCTACACTTTACACTTTACACTTTACACTCTACACTTTACACTCCACAATTCACACTTTACACTCCACACTTTACACTTTACACTCTACACTTTACACTTTACACTTTACACTTTACACTCCACACTTTACACTTTACACTTTACACTTTACACTCCACACTTTACACTCTACACTTTACACTTTACACTCTACACTTTACACTCCACAATTCACACTTTACACTCCACACTTTACACTTTACACTCCACACTTTACACTCTACACTTTACACTTTACACTTTAGACTCTACACTTTACACTTTGCACTCCACACTTTACACTTTACACTCCACACTTTACACTCCACACTTTACACTCTTACACTCTACACTCTTACACTCTACACTTTACACTTCACACTTGACACTCCACACTTTACACTTTACACTCCACACTTTACACTTTACACTCTACACTCCACACTCCACACTTTACACTTTACACTCCACACTTTACACTTTACACTCCACACTTTACACTCTACACTTTACACTTTACACTTTACACTTTACACTCTACACTTTACACTCCACACTTCACACTTTACACTCCACACTTTACACTTTACACTCTACACTCTACACTTTACACTTTACACTTTACACTCCACACTTTACACTATACACTCTACACTTTACACTTTACACTCCACACTTTACACTTTACACTCTACACTCCACACTTTACACTTTACACTTTAAACTTCACACTTTACACTCTACACTCCACACTTTACACTTTACACTCCACACTTTACACTTTACATTCCACACTTTACACTTTACACTCTACACTTTACACTTTACACTCTACACTTTACACTTTACACTCCACACTTTACACTCTACACTTTACACTCCACACTTTACACTTTACACTCCGCACTTTACACTTTACACTCTACACTGTACACTCTACACTTTACACTCGACACTCTACACTCCACACTCTACACTTTACACTTTACACTCCACACTCTACACTCTACAATCTACACTCTACAATCTACACTTTACACTTCACACTCTGCACTTTACACTTTACACTTTACACTTGACACTTCACACTTTACACTTTACACTCCACACTTTACACTCCACACTTTACACTTTACACTCCACACTTTACACTCTACACTCCACACTTTACACTTTACACTCCACACTTTACACTTTGCACTCACACTTTACACTCCACACTTTACACTCTACACTCCACACTTTACACTTTACATTCCACACTTTACACTTTACACTTTACACTCTACACTTTACACTTTACACTCTACACTTTACACTTTACACTCCACACTTTACACTTTACACTTAACACTCTACACTTTAAACTTTACACTCCACACTTTACACAATACACTTTACACTCCACACTTCACACTTTACACTGTGCACTTTACACTTTACACTTTACACTCTACACTTTACACTTTACACTCCACACTTTACACTTTACACTCCACACTCCACACTTCACACTTTACACTCCACACTTTACACTTTACACTCTACACTCTCCAGTTTACACTTTACACTCCACACTTTACACTTTACACTCCACACTTTACATTTTAAATTCTCTACACTCCACACTTTACACATTACACTTTACACTCCACACTTTACACTTTACACTCTACATTGTACACTCTACACTTTACACTCGACACTCTACACTCCACACTCTACACTTTACACTTTACACTCCACACTCTACACTCTACAATCTACACTCTACAATCTACACTTTACACTTCACACTCTGCACTTTACACTTTACACTTGACACTTCACACTTTACACTTTCACTCCACACTTTACACTCCACACTTTACACTTTACACTCTGCACTTTACACTCTACACTCCACACTTTACACTTTACACTCCACACTTTACACTTTGCACTCTACACTTTACACTCCACACTTTACACTTTACACTCTACACTCCACACTTTACACTTTACACTTTACACTCCACACTTTACACTTTACACTCTACACTCCACACTTTAGATTCTACACTTTACACTTTACACTCTACACTTTACACTTTACACTTTCCACTCCACACTTTACACTTTACACTCTACACTGTACACTCTACACTTTACACTCGACACTCTACACTCCACACTCTACACTTTACACTTTACACTCCACACTCTACACTCTACAATCTACACTCTACAATCTACACTTTACACTTCACACTCTGCACTTTACACTTTACACTTGACACTCTACACTTTATACTTTACACTCTACACTCCACACTTTACACTCCACACTTTACACTTTGCACTCTACACTTTACATTTTACACTTTACACTCCACACTTTACACTCCACACTTTACACTTTACACTCTACACTTTACACTCCACACTCCACACTTTACACTGTACACTCTACACTTTACACTTGACACTCTACACTTTACACTTTACACTCCACACTTTACACTTTACACTCTACACTCCGCACTTTACATTCTACACTTTACACTCTACACTTTACACTCTACACTTTCCACTTTACACTTTCCACTCCACACTTTACACTTTACACTCTACACTCTACACTTTACACTCTACACTCCACACTTTACACTTCACACTCTACACTTTACACTTTCCACTTGACACTTTACACTCTACGCTTTACACTTGACACTTTACACTCCACTTTCCACTTTCCACACTCCACACTCCGCACTTTACACTCCACACTTTACACTTTACACTTTACACTCTACACTTTACACTCCACACTCCACACTTTACACTCCACACTCTACACTCTACACTTTACACTTCACATTGCACACTTTACACTTTACACTTGACACTCCACACTCTACACTCTACACTTTACACTCCACACTCCACACTTTACACTTTACACTTTGCACTCCGCACTCCACAATCCCCACTCCACACTCTACGCACTACATTTCCCACTCAAAACTCCACTTTCTTGACACTCTAGACTTTGCATTCCACCCCATTCCACGTTCCACAGTCTACAGTGCACTGGTACGGGAACACGGGGGAAAAGCACAAGACTTTTCAAATAATTAACTTGTTTCACAATAATGTTTTACGTGACTGCATTCGGGTTCGTGGGCCGCATCTCGTTTGCAACTAGGATTCATTTGGGGTTGGTTTAGGGTTGGTTTAGTTTTTGTTAGGTTGGTTTAGGTTATTTGCGGTTGGTTTTGGACTTGGTTTAGGGTTGGCTTAGGCTTGGTTTAGGGTTTGTTTAGGTCTGGTTTAAGGTCTATTTAGAATCTGTTTAAGATCTATGTAATGTTTGTGGTTTATTTAGGCTTGGTTCAGGGTTTATTTAGGCTTGGCTTGAGATCTATTTAGGGTTGGTTTAGGATTTATTTGGGGCAAATTGTCACATTTATTTAGGGTTAACCTAAGGTTTACTTAGGGCTATCTTAATTTCCTTTTGGATTTTTTTTGGGTTTATTTAAGATTGGTTTAGGGTTTATTTATATGATGCATCTTAGGAGGGATTGTTTAGGCTTAAGAAGCAAAAAAGCAGGGAAAGCAGAGCAGAGAAGCAGAACAGCAAAGAAGCAGAAAAGCAGAGAAGGAAAGAAGCAGGGAAAGCAGAGAAGCAAAGACTTAGCAGGGAAAAGCAGAGAAGCAGAAAAGCAGAAATCTTGGAGAGATGCAAACAAGCAAAGAAGCAGGGAGCAGAAAAGCAGAGAAGCAGATACCCAAGAAAAAATCCCAAAACAGAAAAAACATATCAAAAATAAATACAATAATCCTCCTTTCCATTTTGGTGCATCCAGTATCTTTCTCTCTCTCTTTCTCCCAATTTTTGGACTGACCATGACTGACCCATGACTGACTTCCATATGATCAAACCACTGCGCCGAAGCACATCTTGTAGCTCGTATTCGGTCAGCCAAGTCTTGCCACTGGCTGATTCCATGGAGCCCAGGCCGAACCAACCACAGGCGATGACGTGCTCCAACAGCAGCATGCCCGTAATGATGATCACCAAACTGAATCGGACAGATGCGACCTGGCTGAAAACTGCTGAGAATCGGGGAGAATTTGCACCATAAGACACATAGCTTGGGACTCTTTCGCAAAACAGCTTGACATGTTCAAGGCGAAAACGATAACGTTAAATATGTTTCATCTCAATGATGCCCCCATCATCCAACTCCCAGCCGTTGATGGAATGTTGCTGACCCGAGTTGATGCTTGGTTTAAGTTGGTTTGTCCCTGCAGTCTCAACAACCAGGAGCCCACGAATCACGAATAAAGGCTAAAATCAAAACTTGCAGGGTCATCTGGCCTGCGTCTCGAACCTGTCCCGCAAAAAAGCAGCGAAGCGGGTGAGCTTGCCCAGTCTCACCACTCGCAAAAGCCTAGACGCCAACCCACAAGGGGAAAAATCAACAAAAGTGACTTTGTATGTGTGCAACACAGTAAGGCAGCCAACACGCAGGCTTACAAAGGCCTCAGAAGCCGCAAAATACGGGTGCTCGCACGGTTGGCTTTGGACATATCTGTTGAAAACCTTGGCGGCATGATGGGTCGTTCCCTTGCTGAGCTGCTTTTTGAGACAGCCTTCATGTCAAAAAATGTTGCTAAAGGTTTGATGGTAGACGCCCCAAAATCTGAGAAAGTCCAACCTGAAGACTTGGATTGTTTGAGCCCCGGAGCTCCAAAGTTATGTCAATGATGGTGACAATGATATCCGGCAGAAACCAAGAACGCACGTAGTTCCATGCTATTTTCCTCCGAGAGGTCACCAACGCGCCTTTCCTTAGGGGCAAAAGAACTTGGCGTCTTCCCAGCAGAACAGCTTGATATTGAACGCCCAAAATGCCAATGTTATAAGTTATTATAATGTTGTAATTTATCGAAACCCCCCAAAAAAACACACATCAAAAAACAAACCATCAGCTTGCTCTCAACTTGGGTTCTTCAAATATCCAGTGAAGAATGAGAGAACGATGTCTGTGAGCCAGTAGAATGCAGCAATCCGCGAATTCACTGCCAAGGAAGGATACTGACTGTAGAAGTCTTCGTTCACAAACTGCACTGGCAAGATCATAGTGTCCAAAGTGAGAAGGCCAATGCCGATGAAATCCCAAAGATTGCGGAAGTGGCCGGTGGGGTTCAAGATCCACGGCGGTGAGTCATGGTCCACTGCGATGGCTGACCGAACAGTCTCCGCATTTCCACCGCCGCGACTCCTGTATAATCGTGGTTTTGTCAACCAGCAAGGCAGGGGAAAGTAGTGTCTTGAGCTCGAGTTGTGACTCGTGCGATGATGGAACATGGGGGGCTCATTTGCTGGCACGTCAGGTTCCTGGGCGCTCGGCACAGCGGCACTGTCTCAGTGCAAAGCCAAAGAAAAACCATGTCAGGGTCAGGGTGCGTCCAAATCATTATATCCTGCATCCTTCCCCAGAGCCTCGCACAGAAAAAACAAACATGAAAAATAGCCAGAAAAACTACAAGTCAAATGCCAACAACTCCATGCCTTTGTGCTATGTGTGGACCCTGGATATGTGAAGCAAAACTGCGGGTTCTTGGCTGAAAAAAACACAAAGCTGGCTACTTCAGCCGTGGTTCGGGCCCTGGTGGGACGATGCTGAGGCTTCCACTTGTCAAAGGTGATTGGCCCAGTTCATCCGATTCCATGCCACTCCGCGGAGCCACTGTTGTGATATGGGGCGGGCTCCTCACCCGCGACGGCGCCTCAGAACTTCGCTCCGGCTATCATCATTCAATGATGATCATCTCTAATGACATGATCTTCCCATACTTTGAAACCTTTTCAAAACCTTCCCTCCATTTCCCTCCAAATCATCCAAACCTTTTTGACTTGCCCTCTGCAGCCCAGTCTCATGAGGCTCCAGTAAGCTGAGGGCTGTGCCAGGCGCCATGTGTCCAGAGCGAATCCCCACAGATCCAGAACTCACAACTCGCTTCGGTCCTTTACCCATCGCTCCTGGGGTTCCCAATCAAAACAGCTTCGGGCTACTGCCACGGTCACTACATCGAATGATATTGGCGTAATATTGGTATGATACTGGTACGATCTAGAAAATCTAGAATCTAGATTCATCTAAATTCTAGATATACTGTCATATGACACTTGGTACGAGGCTTGGCATGGCAAAGATTGAAGTTTGTCGTTCAAAGCGTCTGGGAAGTGCCTGCTAGATCCAGGTTTGTTCGCTTTCATGCTTTGAATATCTTTGAATTGTTGAAGAGATCTGGGTTGCCATATTTTTTCTAGCCGTTTACTTTTTTTGGGGCTGATTATGGCTGATTATTGCTCGGGTCTTGTGGGGCCATTTGCCAAAAGCATGCTGCATGTTTTGCTCCTTCTTTTCAGCTCTCACTGCAATGTTGCTTTTCCATGCCAAGATTGTTTGGCCCGACCATTTTTTGTGCTCATTTCAGGTGCAACGCCTTTGACCCCCCAAACATCTTTGTTGCGGCCTTGGCCCATACTGGCCAAACAACTTCGGGATTACTGTTTCCAAGCTCGACATTATTTTTTATGAGTGTAAATGCTTTGTCTGTTGGCATACATGTCGCTGATTAGTCTCTAGGCATTGCATTGTTCCTTTCATGTCTGTTGCTTTCCTCTTGGGGTGTCCATGTCTGCTTTTTCATTCCTCTAACACTTCGCTGAACTGAGTTCCCTGCCTTTTCAATACAAGTCTCTCGAATATAGATGAACACAGCACTTGTCATAAGCGGCAGCTTGCCCTATCTTTGTCAACCATTTGTCAAACAATTGTCAACCAAACGATTTGAAATTTCGATTTGACAAGCCCTCAAGGCCCTCAAGGCCCTCAAGGCCCTCAACCGCTGTGATTTGCGGTGATAAATCTGCCGAGTCGCCCACTTGCCTCATGTCAGCTTCATAGCCTGGCCCGGGATGCGAGTGCAAGTGATACAAGCTGCTTTACAAGCAATATACAGCACACACACACACACATATATATATATATATCATACAGCACACACACACACACACATATATATATATATATATATATTATATACACAAGCTCAATGCTTCATGATTGCTTCATGATTGCTTCATGATACAGCAAGTGCAGCATTGAACATTCATGTAGCATCCGACAGCATCCATGGATATCCATGGCATCTGCATCCGAGTGACACTCACCCAAGCGACTGTACAAATCCCAGAACGAGTCGTTCGCTGGGTCTCGGGTCTTCCATGGCAAGAGGTCTGAGAGGGGTGTGCTGTCCATCCTCTCACCTATAGGACCTATAGCCTATAGCGATCTTGAGCCCATCCTGCAACCAGCATTGTTAAAATAGCATTGCAGCATCACTTGCAGCATCATACCAAATGCGTTCCACTGCACCCAACTCAAGGGGGCAAAGCAACGTAACGCCAGTTCTGATTTAGTTCTGCCACTTTTCACATCTTTTTACCTCGGATCAAAACTCCCGAAATCGTGCAGGCATGTGCAGGCTACATTGCCATACATTGCCATCTCGTCCACCTGGGAGAATCTTTTGCTTCCGTCTCCCATCGCCGATCCTAAGCCCCTGCTAAAGCTGAGCTCGGTGTGGATTTCGTCTTCGTCGGAAGCAGCGTGGAACGTTCACCTTTTTGTTCCATTTCCTGCCGGGCTTGTCCATACAGAAGACCACCCACAATGCTCAAACTGGCTCCGGCTATCTGTATTGAGGTCATTCCGGAATTGAAGCCGCAAGCCTCAACGGCCAGGATCACAAACTTGTTGGCATTGGTCATCACCAGAAAACTGGTGGCTGTGATGAGGCTCTGCGCCCAAATGCTGGTGTAACTGATGGTCAAACCTATAACTAAACTCAACACCAGGTTCGCCTGTCCAGCCCATGTGAGATGTTTCGCAGCATCCGGTACTGCTGGGAGTTCACCTTTCATGACGATGGCGATCCCAATCACCACAACACCCCACAGGTTGTTGATCAAAGTGATGCCAGTCTTCGAAATGTCTACTGGGCATTGGTCTTTTGCAAGCAGCAGTCTTTGAAGCAATCGATCCACCACGGCAATGATACTGTTCAACACCACCCATCCGATTGCTGCCCAATTCATCTTATCTCGATGGTCGACCATGTACATCATTGCCCCAACAAACATCACTATCAGGGCCATCAACATTTTCCCACTCACTTGCAAAGGCTCAGGGTACAGCCGCTCCAGAACCAAGGTTCCCAGGGGAGAGGCATTGCGAATCACTATGACCAGTGACATGGGGGCATTTTTTAAGGCAAGCATCGAAGTGAGCAACATGGCACAGTACATTGGGGCCACCATGCTCCAGCGCAACAAGTCTTTGCGTGATCCAACATGGATGTAAGAATACCCAAAAGTAGCAAGGACGAGAGCTGAGAAAGCCAGCTGCAGCCACACCAAGGAGCACTCCAACGGAAAGTCGTGGATTGCCAACTTGTTGGATAACATCAGGCTAGACGAGGATACACAATAGATGGAGATTGCTAGTAGGATCTCCGATCGTTCCCGCTCCATCTCAGAAATCAAAATTCGCTAATCGAAGAACATGAAATGGCGTAGGTCATAATCCTGGAGCCAAATGCGTCCAAATGCCATGGCGTGTCAGGCATGATCAGGCATGACAATTTTCAATGCATTTCATGGTATGTCCGAACACCTGCAAATTTGGACCCGTTAAGCAACACTCACATTCACACCGCGGAGTCTTGCGAAGTCCGTACCTTCCAGCGATCTGATTTTGTCACGGTCTCAGCCATTGCTGTCATCTCGTGCCCTGGTTCTCACCCTTTTCGGGTTTCGAATGCTTTTGATCTTGCCTGCACCGGCGAGCCCTGGATTGATGCACTTCAACAAAACATGCCAAAAGCTCCTCACTTGCAGACATCAAAAATCCGAATCTTTTTCTCCTCAAACCTCTTAAAATCTCTTAAAGTATAATTAGATGAATTAGTTTCTGGAAAGGATCATTGAACGAAGCAGTGGTTGTCACCGCAATCCGGTGCGCACTGGCTGTGCATCTTTGGCTTTTGCCTTTGTCTCTGACCCGGTATAACAATATAACTTGATGTAACCGATTCAATCTTGTTCTTGTTCTGTCGGCTTCAACGATTTTCTTGGGTTCTGAGGCACCCGCGTGAAACACTTTGAATTTGAGCCTGTCCTGTCCCTCCAAGCCTCTCAAGAGGCGAAAGGTTCCGCCAAATGGCGAATTTGGCATCCCGGCAGAATCCTGTCACGAAAGACTTACCATGACTTACCATGACTTGCCACATGTTGCCATTGAAACTTCTCCACTTTCCAGACACTAAGATTAGTTTATATATACTTATACATAATTAAATATATAATTATATATATACATATATATATATATTTTACATAATTAAATATATTATTTTTATATACATATACATAATATAATCCAATATATATATATATTTATTTATTTACAATGAGTATGAGCTGACGGGAGAGGTGCCAGGGTGCATGCAACAAAAAATGGAGCTTAAGCACATTGAGCCTTTGGGCTCACTGCTAAGCACTGCTACGCGATGCTGCACGATGCTACACGATGTGACTCATGTGCTCTTGTGACGGAGACTTCCTCAGATGTGTGGAGCACTTAGTGTCGGGGTTGCCCTTATGGGTCGCCCTTCTGGGTATGATGATGTAGGATGCATTGACGTGCAATTGTGGACCAAACACCATCAAGCTCCCCATAGTGAAAGCACTTCACCCTTCCGGTCGGGGTTCACATATATATATATATGCTACAGTAATGGTATCTATCTATCTATCTATCTATATCTCTATCTATCTATATCTATCTATATCTCTATCTATCTATATCTCTATCTATCTATATCTCTATCTATCTATATCTCTATCTATCTATATCTCTATCTATCTATCTATCTATCTATCTCTATCTATCTATCTATCTATCTATCGATCGATCGATCGATCTATGTGTGTGTGCAGAAGGATCATCAAGGATCATCAAGGATCATCAAGGATCATCAAGGATCATCAAGGATCATCAAGGATCATCAAGGATCATTGCAAAGCAGCTCAATGACTGGCATTGGAATCAATGCTGCCTTAAAAACAAGCTTGAGCGGAAAAATTGCTCGGATTCCACCTCAGCATCCATCTCAATCTCTTCAAAGCGCCTACCTTTCTACAAACCGCAAGGACCCCGCACTGCGCATGGGGTGACTATGGAGTAACTACGACAGTTACTACTGGAATGGGTCCTGGTTTTCTCCAGTACCGCTACGAAAGTGTGACTGTGACACTGCTCTAAACTTTGGCCAAGATCATGACGCAGAGACATGGTATTCAAGCCTGCGTATACCCGGGTTTTGATGTTACAGTATGACCCCAATTCAATGCACATATATCACATATATCATAGATCCACATGTCTTGCATTGTCATGTACATCAAACCAGCTCTGGATTTCATCCTTTGAAAGTCATCAGCTCAGAGCAATCAGCTCCACCTTTCTCTGTTGGAGAACTTGGAGGAGTTGACGCTTGGAATGCTGCAGGGAAAGTCTATAAACTAATTGATACTAAGTGCACGCTGTGCACGCTAATTAATTGCTTCGGACATTGTCCTCAATTTCCGGCGGAAAACCAAAATGCAGCACACTCAAGTTGCGTGCAGCTGCGAAACTGACAGGGTTCAAGAGAAAATTGGTGGCAACCCCTGCTTCAAGAGTCTGAGGCAGAGCCAGTTTGGGCTGAGCCATCAAATTCTGCACCAAATTCAGCTGCTAAAGAGTTGCACGGCTGATGGACTGTTGAAGCGTGACACGCCGATATAAATGTAAAGCCTACGCAAATCTACGCAATGACACCCTTGGTATTGATTCTAGGAAGTCTGATCGTTCATCCATATTCATTCTTCCTTGGTTCAGTTGATGAGATTGATATAGATTGATATAGGTTGATGAGATATCAATATATAGATATCGATATCACAGATTTCACATAGTGAGACAAGGTGCACACTTGGCTCCAGAGTCCAAATTCCCAAGTTCACTGAGTTCACTGAGCAATTCGTCTGCAGATGGACGTGCTTGGGCACTCTCGTGCCAGGCTTGGGCCATAGTTGGCCGCAAAACTTGGTGACAATCTGTCAGCAAAGGCCTCTCCGAGGCCAAGTGATCAAGTCATAGTCATGCAGACAATGCAGACTCCTCGACTCTTCCTCCCTCCAAATTCTCCCAATATCCCTAAGATATCCCAAGACACACACACACACAAAAAAAAACGAATCAGCTCGAATATGCTCCAATCATTAGACTCTAACCATCTCTCATCAAAGATTTGCACTTGGAAAGTCAGATGAAATTAGTCTGCAAATGTTGGAGTCCAATCAAACATCAACCCGGTGCCTGGGTTCGTTGCCCTTCAGATACGCCTGCAGAATCTTCTCTGGATCGATGCCCAGCTGGTGGAAAGGCTGCTTTCCGGAACTCATGAAATACCTCAGCTGGCGGCACCCGGCACCCGGCACTACCATGGTCATCCTGGAACCCACATCGAGACACACAGGGTGGGACCATGTGGGACCTATAGGACGTATATATGGACGTATAGGAAACGAGATCTGGCGTTGAAAAGCCGTGCCAATACGATTTGAACCAGCCGTGATAACCACGGGTGACCAAGTACCTTTGCAAGTCAGTAATTACGTCATGCGTTGCAAGGCTGTTGCTAAATGTCAGAGTGGTCAGCCACCTGTGATGTTGAGTGAGAACATGCATCTTGGCATCTTCGTATGATGTACGGTAGATGCATGTCTCAATCAGTGCTGGCCGGCCAGATGGGTCTGTGATTGCCTGCGAAAATGCATCACAGCCAAGACACATGATGAGTCCCAAGGCATAAATATCCACCTGAAAGTGATGCAGGCTGCTGGCTGGCTGCTGGCCTTCTGTTCCCGCAACATCCTACTTAGCTTCTGTGCGTGTCAGCCAGTCATAGCATGTCATAGCGGGTGGGCATAAAAGGGCATGATTTCACATCCAGTACGGTGAGACAGCAACGTCCCCATCGACTTTTAGCAAACACATCCCACCGAATTCACAGAAATTTCTGATGCAAAATGTTTCAAGAGACGGAAGGTGACACAATTGACACATCTGAGAATGAGAGGAGTTTCCAGGCCAAGATGTTCATTGGTGTCAGATGCCTTCTCAGTGTACTTCTGGTGTCGCACCACTTCCGGAGCCATGTAGCGCCAGGTGCCGATGCCACCTGTCATCCCTTTCTGCCCGCAGTCACCTGACTCGGGCCCTGCCCGAGCCAAGACTCGAGCAATGCCCAAGTCTGCAACTTTGACCTCAAACGAACAAACGCAGACTGTCACACACAGTCATGGACATAATGCAGACATAGTGCAAACATAGTGCCATCGAGCGGACCATTTCATACTGATGAGATCTCAAAAATGTGGAATAGCATGGAATATCTAGAATGACCAATATGACCGCAGGGCACATACAACATGAAGAGATATGAAGAGTTTGATGCTCCTGCAATCTCCTGCACGTCCTGCATTGTGTGTATGGCAGGACGTGCATGCCGGTGCACCTCCAAGTATTTCGTCAAGAGGAGGTTCAAAGGCTTCAAATCTCTGTGCACCTTAGCATATTTTAGCATATTTGGCATGGCATGGCCCGACATGGCCCCCATGTCGTGGCTGGATTCAGATCCATAGCAGATCTATAGCAACTAGGAGTGATGTGAATGTAGGACATGCTAGAAGGTCCGTACGCCGAAGGCCACCTATCCGTCTGATGCGATGGCTGCATTTTGCATCTGATCTTGTTACTTCCTGCTCGTCTGAACAAGACCTGGCTGCCTAATGCTGTAAATCAATGACATGATACGACATTTCATTACCAGACATTACCAGACTGAATGCTTCTATTATCTTCTATCTTTTCATTCTTCTCTAATTTTTTGGCCGGCCACCAAGGGAATTTCCCGGCCATGCAAGAAGCTCAACGCACGACACGTTGCCAATGCCCAACCGACCACCTGCAGAGCTGACATCTGCATGCTCAGTGACATGCAGCTAATTTGCAACTTACTTTTCCCAAATGAGGCAGCTAGCAAATGCATTCATCAAATACCTTCTCCAACTCCCATGTTCATCCATGTTCTTTTCCTGCGCACTGGCAAGCGCTGGCAAGTCTCTGGCCGCCTGAGAGAGCTTGGGGCGCCAGCACGCACTATCATACTTTTGACGGTTCAACTGATAGTAGCGCCTGGCAGAATTTGACATGTGGCATCATGTGGCTCAAACTCTCCCTCAAACAAACAGCTAACGGAATTGACTTGCGAGCTTTGAACAACAATATTGAACATTCTTGCATCGTGCCACATCCTTGTTTAATTACCTGGAAAGCCACAATCCCATTTTTTTTTGGACAAACAGCCTTGACCATTTTTTTGTCATTACGGCTTTGATCGTCTGGAGCCACTTGTGTCAGAGTTGCCACGGCTTTTTACGGCCTTTTTTCAACAAAATGTAAAAAAAAAAGTTTTGCTACGGGCAGGACTGCAATGTTCTTTTGATTTGACCATTCATTTTGGTCATTACGACCAAAAAAAACTGATCATTACGGCTTTTTCCCATAATGACCAGAACATTGTGTGTTTTTGGCTTTCCAGGTAATCACACTTCAGTTCACAGACATACAGCATCTGACGGACGTTCTTTGCACATCCAAGAAACTCCATATCGCCCATGGGCATGTACTCTGTGACGCACATGGGCAGAGTGGAATCTAGGCAAGCACCTAAACGAGTCAAATCCGGCGAAAACGGTTCTGGCTCTTACAACTGGAAATACAAAAACCGTACCCCAACAAATCAAATCAAACACAATGCAAATGATTATATGGATCATCAGCATTGAATCTGAGATGTCTTTTTGACAAATGTCTAGTCATGTATACCAGGATTCAAGATATATATATATATAGTATTATAAAGTTGTAAATATAATTGTAAATATATATATATATAATTATATAGTTATATAATTTATATATCTAAATATTACTAATACATTAATATCCCATGTGTGGCCTGTCGATCCGGCAAGGTACCCAGGAACATCACCAGGTCAGGGTGTCGGAAGGATGCCAAATGTTCGATTTCCATCAGGAGTTCTTCAGCAATCTTATCGTTTGGCATCATTTCCGACTCCTGGTGATGGGATGTGGATGGATGTGGCACGTTGTTGCGATGCAGTGGTTGAATATGGTTGAATGTTGTAGGCTTATGATGGCTTATGTACGGGGCAAATCATGGATCAAATCATGGATCTATTATTCTCTAAAAGAATCTTACCAACGTGACCTCATTAATTTTGAATCAGCCTTGAAGGTAAGATAAGGTAAGTGAGGAGATGAATGAAAGCGCAAATGCCAGCCAATGCCAGCAGGTAATTCATGAATGTTCATGATAGTTTTGATGTCACAAAGTCATCCCATGTCATCTTTCCAGATCTTTCAGTCCTCATGAGCCAAATCTGAATGCAAATTCTGGGCACATTTCACCGATTTCACCACCACTTCAGTGCCCTTCCAGGTCGCCAAATAGATGGTACTCTTCAAGGTGCGGCTGAGTTCCTTCTTGATGCACAGCTCCTACTGCGGAAGTTGCGGAAGCTTAAGATTCACTGGTGAAGCAACGTTGCAAAGCTGGGCACAGGGCACAGGGCACAATACTGATGGCATTTGATGGCATTAGCCAAAAATGCATTTCAATGCATTTCATCATACTTCATCACATACTTCATCATGTACTTGATCCTACTTCATCTACTTCATCCATATTGATACTCACTTCGTATCATCATGTCATCCTGATGCGCACGACCTCCAACTCTGCAAATGTTATACAATGTTTTCATATTGTTTTCATATTGGTTTTATCATATGTATTCCATGCTGTCCCTGTGTCCCCGTGCCATGTCCATATGACCACCCATATGCCCAATGCCCACACCTTGCGGCTCAACTTCCAGGATTCCGAGGCCGTGGTGGACAACTTTTTGCGCCTCAAGCGGCGTCCCTCCTCGGTACTCCAGGAGCTCGACAAACTGCTCACGTTCGTCACCGGCTCACCGTCGGCCTCACCAGCCTCACCGGCCTCGGCATCTGCATTGCTTTCGGCTTCCTCTGTGGCCTCGTGGCTCCACCTCTGGTATTTCCAGGGGATGGGTGGCATCGGCATGGAACTGAAACCGCGAGATTTCCAGAGTTGAGCCACAAAAACTGCAGCGCCTTTGATTTGTCTCGGGTGTTTTTTCACTGTTCCCGTATGTTCCTGAGCTTGAGACATCTTGAGACTTGAGATTGGACCGGGAGAATAAAGACATATAAAGACTAATTTTAGATGGCCAGATATGACAGCACTGGGCCATCCCATGTTGAACAACCACTCTCTGAGCATCGCTATCATCGCTTATGCCAGGACTCCCGTGAAGGATGGCCCCATCGAAGGGCCCTCGGGTTTCAGCCTCACGGGAAAAACCAGCAAAGCTAAACAGCGCACGAGGCATGAGACTCAATGAACTGAATGACACATAGCGGATCATAGCGGCATAGCGATACAAAGTGATACGTTGACTGCATAACCGGCTGGTGGAAAGGGTCTGGTGCCTCATCAACCCAATCGCCTTCTCCCAATACATCCATGACAACCTCAGGAAGTGTGAAGTCTCCAACCATCATCCAGATTCTCCTACCAAGTTCTGAAGTTCCTCTGGTCGGTTCCTCTGGTCGGTTTCAATATTTATTAACCTTTCTCAAGAATCTTTGTCATTGGGGTCATCATCCCAGGTGATGGAACAACATATAGTTGAAAAAGCACCCGGTCCATACTGTCATGTCCGGTCGTCATGTTCCTGCGCATTTTCCTGCACAATGGTGAAAAGGGTCCGCTATGGGTCCGCTTTCATGGCTTTTGAGCTTCTGGCAGCTTCAGCGCGTGCCAAGTGTCCAGGATCTCGATAAATCAGGAGCTGATGTGCGCTGCAACCCGGGCAGAAATAGTCCTGCAACAACAGCAGTGAGGATAGGCCAAGGCTGGAGGAGAAATATCACGTCGATAAACATTGCAGTCATTTCTGCGCACAGCCCTATCTTCACCATTTCAATAATCGCTAACAGCTACTTTTGCGCAAACTGGACTATTCTATACATCTATACCAAGTGCACGCCATCGTTCAAAGCTTGGAAAAACCTTGCTGCGCCAAGTTGCATTGATGCTGTTCAGAATTACCTTGGCGCATTTTGGCTGTCAGGCAAGGGCAGAAAACCATCAAAACTTGTCTGCAGTACTGGTGCGGGCTGACAGCTATTTATGTGCTAGCGCGAGCGAGCATCATGAACATCCATCTTTGAAGGAAAGAATTGCCCAAAAATCCCAGTATTTATCAACATTGATCAACCCATTAATCCATATATAATCCATAAATAATCCATAACAATGCAATTTTTTAGCCCAGTCTAGGTCACATGTACAAACCAAATCGGGGCGTGGCTCCAAATCCCTGGGGCCCCCGGCGAATGGCACCATCACGGAGAAAATGATGGACGACCTGCAGTCCAAATTCATCCAGCCATTCCAGCTATGAAGATTTTTTCAAAAATCAGACAATGACTATGATATCGTGATGACTCCAGTGATGATTATGATTTTCAAAAACATGTCCTACACTTTCCATAAAAGCCTGGTCAGGCATTTTATCTGCAAAATTTACTTTAAATTCAAAACGGTTTCCTCGTCTTAAATCTACTTTTCCCCTCTGATTAAATCTTCAGTCCTCGCCTCGTTACATTCAAAACGGATTTCAGCCCTCGTCCCATTTCTTTCTCGACCGCAAGCCATTCGAACTAGTCCTCTGCCTCCTTTTGGGTTGAACTTTTTTGAATTATCTTTGTCGTCGTTGCAGCAACGCTCTGGGCTCCAGAGGCTTGGGGTGCTGAAAAAACTTTTCAGGGCCTAAAAAGTTTTTTCCTGTTTCCGAGATGCCTCTTTTACAAGCGGATTTGCAGGGGCTCGATTCCCCCCAAATTCGACCCCAGAGAAGAGAAGCTGCAGCAGCAGCACCAAGATACCCCGCTACACCTCAAGCTTTAGCAATTTTAGAATCTAGTCGCGCTACCTGGGAAAGGTGAATAAGAACTATTGACCAAAATTTCAGGGTTCCCTAGGGTTCTTATTTCAATTAGCTGGTAGACAGAGTTGAATCCAGCAATCCATCCCCTGAGGTTCTTAATGCAGTGGGTTCTTAAACAGTGGTTTCACTGTAGAACAAATACGGAAGTCCTGGAACAACCGGGCATGCCACCACAGGGCACTGACTGAATTACGATAAAAAAAACTTTTCGGGCTCCAGAAAGTTTTTTTTTTTTCACGGGTCTGAATGCACCCTTAATTTTCTATTTTTTTCACTCTGATGGGAACAAAAAAAACTTTCTGGAGCCCGAAATGTTTTTTTTCACTCGTTGCACATGCTTTGAAAGCAATTTCTGCCCACCTCGTTTTCTGAATTTAATTAATTCACCTCGCTTAAATTGCAAAGATTCACCTCGTACCTCGTCAGCCCTCGCTCTAAATTGTGCAGATTTTATAGTATAAGGCGTCTATTTTGACAAACAAACGGTACCAGTCTTCCTTCTGGACTTGAGACGCAGCTTCAGGGTCAGGGTCGAAAATATTTAAACTGAGTCAAGCATCTTACAAATTAATGTGCTATAATTCGCGGTAACATATTATTCTAACAGAATCAATTACTATACTATTGTTTAAAAATAGTTTAACAGAATCACGTACCATTTACAACAAATTTGAACAATGTCTACAAGCCGCCCTATGGAGTGGGGTTGTAAAGGTTCATGCCTTGAAGCTGTGAATGTCTCCAAATTAGCCCAAAAGATCCCAATAAAATTACCTAACTTTTTATGTTCAAGTTCAGCGGGGTTTGTAACGCAGGATTGGTACCTCCAAACCGTATCCTCGGAAAAATGAGATGAATTTCTTCGAATTTCTATGTGTAAGTTCAAGCTGGAAAAGCGGTGTGTGACATTGTGAAGACACAAACAGGATTCGTCCTACCGAATGAGCCACCAAACCTCTTCGAAAAGCAAGGCACAGGGCACCCCAACCATCTAATTAGCTGCTAATTAGCTATAGAATGGATACCGGATACCTGAAAATCCATGGTGCAGGAGGCAAAAATTCCTCAGTGTAGAGGCTCTCACCGACCTGTGATATCGTTATCATTTGTCTTTTTCTGTTGCGTAAGGAGCTGAAAATCGCTGAGTGCCCCGAACACTATGATGTCCCGCGCCATGCGATGCGCACGGACCCAAAGCCTTAAGTGCAGAACATGACTGAATGGATCTGGACCAAAGAAACTTGGAGCAAAGCCCAGAAAGGAATAGAACTGGACACTGAATCTTGAGCATCTGCTAACAAAAACATGTTGTCTTTTCATTTGCTTTCCACGAGGGGCTGCAAGGGAAGACCACAGCACCCCAAAACGTTGCAGCAACGTGCCCTGGCCACGGGATGCCACTGGATGCCACGAGCCCACAAGACATGCAACACATTTCAGCGGGCACATGGTATGGCACATGGCATGATGTGGCAAGTGCCCCAGAAGATCCCCTGCCCAAAGACCTGCCTCAGCATTCCTTCACCTCACCAAAGGGAAACACCAAATGATGAGTGATGAGCGTCTGTCCATGTCAAATCTGGCCTAGCAGGGCTTAGCAATCAAACGGGTTCCCTAGTCTCAAAGAAAAGAGCCTTGCAGCACATTGCAGCCAAGCAGCCAAAAAAGATGCACATCATCAGCATGCCCCACTTGAGGATGAAGCCGGCCACTGAGGCATTCCTTTGAACCAACTTTATTGCAGGTGGTGTTCTATGTCCTTTCAAATATCATGGGAAAGAATTCACAAAGAAGCGGAGATGGTAGACACATGTTGACAGGGTCATCTGATTGCCGGTGATTGCTCGCTAAATGGATGTGTTGCGAGAGTGTGAATTTGCAACATCAATTTACCGCAATCAAGAAAAATACAACAGCAGTTGAACTCGCTGGGACATGTTTGTACGGGAAAAAATGGAAAAATGAATCCGCCTCCAGCCAATTGCGACGAACACATAGATGGCATAGACCTCAAGTGATCAGCGTTCTATGACTTCTCAGTACACCAAGGTCGAGATGATTCTTGGTCAGAACCAACACCATCAACACCCCCAAACAAAAAAGCAAATCCCCAGCCCCCTGTTGCACACGGGTGCCAGGGCTGTCACTCCACCAACCCACAAGATCCACAGGCTGAGTTCCTCATGCAACTGAGGCAAGACACAGCTTCAGCGACATCAAGCACGGTCACTGTCCAGGCTGAAAATGTCAACCTTAAGGCCAATCAATGGCCAATGCAAAAGACTCTGTGGTGGAAGCTGTGCAGCCATATTGACAGCGTGATCGCAACTTGAAGGCTTTCTGGGCTCTCAAAAAGCCATTGATCTCTTTCTGGGCTTTCATGGAGTTGGTTTGAAGTTCCAAAGCATGCAGCTTACAGTGTGCATGCCAAGCCGCGGAATTCCAAGCTCACCTTGGACAAATTTAACTTGAAGGTCAAGTTGAGAAAATTGCAGAGCAGTACATCAAGCAAATCGGTGCGTTTAATTGTTGAATGTCCAAAGATGTCCAATGCCATGGTGTGGAAATTGCTTGGAGGCTCTGCTGCCAGGATGCACCATCGCTGTGTTGCCTGGATTCCCGATGCCAGTGAGACTTTAAACCCCGAAGGCATAGGTTAAGCACGGTTAAGCATAGGTCCTTGGGGCCTTGGGGTCGTTGATATGCCGATGATTTCAAAAATCAAGTGCACCCTTGATCCTTGTTATGGCTGGATCAGCTATCAACAAAGTGTTTCCTAGAAGCCAAAGCAGGCTTTCAAAATGAAACACATCGCCTACTCAAATTTTGAGGCTCTTTGCGGACCCTGTGCCTCAGGCCCTGCTGCAGGCAGCGCTGGTGCCACTGCCGCAACTTCGCGATCCTGTCAATGTGACGTCACTGACGTCACTGATGTCATCATAACTTAATATTCCTCATTTACATCAACCTTGTTCAAGCATTAGGCAATATGCGGCATGTCCATTCTTTCCGGATAGCATTTGGATGCATTTGGTTCAAATGAAGAAACCTCCCCAAGTCCCACCAATGATTGGCCCAATGGGGCAAATTTGATGAATCCCTGTCACTGTGGAATCCACCCTACCGCAGCCTGTGCAGTTGCATGGGGCGCCTCTTCCTGCAGGTGGACAAATGTGGACAAATATGGACAGCTTCAAAATCTCAGGCAATGGGCCAACCTAGAACAAAAATAACAAAGGCATACTGTGGATCTGTGGTGGATCTGTGGTGGTCCTATGACGATTTCTAAATATTTATAATATACGATTGTCATCGATTATCTATCTCAGCCAGGGAGAAACAGCTTGATTGGTTTATCCCATAGCGCCATAGCGCTTTCCTCATCGTCATCTGTGGCAGTGGTAGACTCTCGACCGGCTTCCGCATCGTGGCCAGCCTCAAGAAAACGGTTTTACATTTTACAGCTCAACACTGCCCGACATATCTTGTATTAACTCTGTTGGTCAACTGCAAATCCATCTGACACAGACCATCGACCTATTGGCACCGTCCCAAGGAATTCTGCGGCACCTCTGCTGGTGGTTCTGCTTGTGCTGCTGCATCCTGAGGAAGATATTCAACTGTGTTTCTGTGGGAAGCTCTTTCTTGAGCGGAGAGGGATACACATAATCTTACACACATAATCTTATACACATAATCTTCATCATCACTTATCATCACATATCATCGCACATCACCGAACATCATCATGCATCATAACGTATCTATTTCTGTAGGTGTCTTCTCGTATATAATATAAACACATGACAAATTACTTGCATATATACATATTATATATGATATAATGTTATCAAATATTTACTATAACATTTTTTTATAATATATATATACTGTATATATATATATATTGTGCATGGTTGATCACATGATGCCACTGCGAAATCGCTTCCCTGGAAATCACAACGGGAGCCCAGTTACAGCGGCTTTTCGGCCAAAGATTTTTTTGCCCATTGAGCCCATGCGCCGCGTCATGCCACCCGGCCTTGGTAGCAACAGCTGAGTGGCTACAGATGCTACAGATTGGAAACAACATGAAATTATTATATCATCCATATATCACCAATATATCATTCAATAATCATCAATATATCATTTAATATTATCAATTATAGACTATCATCAATATCATTCAATATCAATATAACAACACCTCGATAATTGATCCTGAAGTCAAGCGGCGTGCGTTTGCTTGGTCGCATGCGACGTCTTAAAATACTGCTGCAGCCAACCACATTTTCGAACAAAACCACAATGATGCAATACCTCGGCTTCTCCACAGCGTGTTCAAGCCTGTTCAGTGCATGGGGCAGGCTGGTACATGTCCAGCACTTTTCCATTAATTAAAAGGTTAATTATGTTAATTTGTCAACACGAGCTGATAGATCTCATAGCTTGCCATTCATTGCAGTCAAGACACGTGAAGGATGCGAAGGTCGGCGGCAACAAGGCTGCCTCGGCATGTCGGGCCATCAAAAGAACCGCATTGAACGGCCCTCATTTCCTATTGCGAAGCTCAGAACATATTTCAAATATTTTCAAATTAATTGCCAAGTTGATGCCAAGTTGCAATGTGCAGCATGTTGCTGGAAAGTGCACCTTGGTAAACCATCGAGTATCAGCAGCATGTGCAATGATAACAGTACTTGTAGCTGCTATGTGCTTTAAAAACGAGCTGACGTGCCTGAATAGGCTAACATCAGCGCATCGATCTTCATGTTGATCATGGCGTACCAAGCGGCCAGGAAGAAGACGGCAACAACAAACCTCGGAGTTGCTGGAGGCCAAAGATGCCAAAGATGCCAAAATCCAGTAGGCTCACGTACTATATGTATCGAAATTGTCCTATCCAGTCCCAGGATTGCTGGAACGATGATGGCTGCGACCCAGTTGCGTGATGTCTACCTTAAGCTCAAAGGCAGCATTTCTTTGAATGGCAGGTGCATGCTGAAAATGTGAGGATGCAAATGGATGCAGTCAAAGTTGCCATAGACCCATGAAGTCCGCCACTGCGCGGTTTCAGCTGAGTCCGATCGTACCACTCAACCCAATGCCTGCCGCTGTCCTGACGGGGCAAAGGGCTCCCGCATCACGTCCAAAAAAATGAAGAATGACTTTATAAATTTATATAAATTGGTCACAACATGTCAGAACTAAGATTGCATTCAAGTTGACAAATACATTCAATCATCTTAAAAAGCAAAGGAGATCAAATGATTTGTGTGATCAGGCCAACATCTCCGACGTGACTGGATGATGACATTAATGTATGATGATGTTAGTGCTCCATTTTCTGATGTTAGCCATGTCCTCCAAAAAGAAGGCGACCAAACAGCGGAAGTCCTGGCACTGCCATCAGCAAAGATCAAGGCATCAAGCTGCAACTGACTAGTCTTGTGAATGTATGTGAATGTCAGGTAGCGTCTCCTCACAGAAATGCTTCCAAACAAACCTCGAATGTCGGTTAGCGGCTGTGGCAATCGGATGCAATGGGTCCAAGGGTCTTGGGAATCCATGCAGATCCATGCAGCTTACAATTATATATACATATATCTTCATATATGAGATTATTAGATATGATTGATATATGAGATATATGATTGATGTTGATGCATCTGTTGCAGCTGAAGGAGCTGATATGGGTTGAAGATGAATGGTGCCCACAGCCACGAAGCCACAGTCAGGAAGAGACAAATGAAGACCCACCACACGTCGTTGCGGAAGACTCCAGCACCTGATACACCTCCGGCCAAATAAATCAGCACGACTCCCGCAAGAAGCGTCACGCCGTCCTCAGTTCCCACTGTTCGAATGCACCGCCTTTTGACTCTCCAATCGTTCAACGAGTGGGGTATTAGCGGTATCAACAGCTACAGTGCTCTGACAAGAGACGTAGTATGCGATCGATGCATAATCAAGGTAAAGGCCTCCAAGTTTTTTCAGCTGAAACCTGCCACGGCGCCATGGAAAATGCAATATCATACATATAATCAAAGCATTGGTTGAATCGCAGCAGTGCATGATTTTGAAGGTCTTGAAATGTCTTGAAATTGCTTCAAAATCTTCAAATTTCGCTGTTCAAAGGACTGGTGGCGTTGGCAAAGTTGGCATCGTGCAGATTGTGCAGTTGAGGAGCTTTCCCGGAACTGCTTCACCTATGAATGGTCGTCGATCTGTTGGCAGCCCTCGGCCAGTGGAGACATAAGTGGCACCGCCGTAGCGAATCTCATTGATGACCTGACGGCGATGAGAAAATGTCAAGTAATCAATGTGCGATTGTCATCCAATGTCATCCAAGTGTTGTATCTGTTGTGACACGTGATGGCACCGCAATCCATTTCATCAGGCGCAACAGAACCAGCACTGCAGCATTGCCCCATTCACATCCATTCACATTGCTAAGCGTGGGGCATAGTGGCCAATAATCTTGGCCTGAAAAATGAACATCAACCTCAGTGGCGTCAAAATCAAAAATCTGAGAAGTGCAAGCCAGCAAAGCACAGGGAATCTTTCGATGTGCTTGTCAAACAGGTTTGAGTTGTAGAATCGAGTTGTGGGATGTCCGATGCAAGCTGCCATTCATTGGGCTGGAGCTAATTTGCTTCAATCTGAATGACAGACCAAGAAACGGTGATAGGGTAAGCATCTGCTTGAAGAATCGCTCGCATGCAACCTAGCCAAGCCAGTGGCTTCAGAGTCAAGCAGAATAAAATCAAAATGCCTTGCAAACAGCGGCACAATCTTTATGATACTGTCTTTTTCAGTGCTTTCAACGCAGGCTTTCAAGGTCTTGCAACCACCTGCCATCAGCTCCGTTTGCAGGAACTACGCGTGCTACAAATGCTGCTTCAGTGGCACCTTGAGGTTTCGCTCCATCCACATCTCAGCCTGCAACATACGCTGGCAGCCGGTTCTACCTAGAGATGATTGGAGGTGCTTCGCATTGACTTCACATAGGCACGATTTCTCCATAGTCTCATATGCCTCATAGTCTCCATGTTTTTATGATTTTTCATGCTACCTTCACTTCGCCAAGGAACCAAGAGTGGCAGGGATGTGGCCACCAAGAAGAGCAAAAGGAGCCAAGAGAACCACACCTTCACAGCTCACAGCAAGTTGATGCAAGTTGCATCAATTTGGACTTTATTTTGGGCTTTATTGGAGAAGTTCACATGACATCACATGACACTTTTCCAACAGTCACATCACTTCACTCAGCTTGAGCAGCTTGAGGCGGGGACTCCCACTGTCTTTGCCATGACCTCCGCGGATGTCATTTTGACCTGGACGCAGCATGACGTGACGATGACGTGTCTGGGCACAGCCGCACAGCATGTCTCACCTGTCTCACTTTCCGTCCATCTTTTTCCCCCCTTCCATCCCCTTCAGCTTAGCATAACATGTTGACATGTGTCTATACATGTGTCTATACACGTGTCTATGTATGTCTATGTCTATACCCATCGAACCTGCTCCAAGTTCAAGAAAGCTTCAAAGATTCCATCTCGCACCTGGCAACTGTTGCAAGTCGCTACAGTAACATCAGTAACATGCAGATGTTTTATGTTTTTTTCATGTTTTTTCCACATCGCAACCTGGTCTAGTTCCCTTTGCACCTCGTCGGCCAGCAAAACGAGAAGCCAAACGAAGACCAGCAACGGCATACTCCAAGAGACAAACAGTTGCCTGTTCCAGTCTTGTCGGCCGAGAGGTTTCCCTTTCCATGTCTACATGGTCTACGTGGTCTACATGGCATGATTTTGGGAGACTGCTGCGCAGCTTCATGACCCAAACATCCGTCATCAGAAAACTCCGAACTTCGTTATACTTCGTTTGCGCTAGAGGAAGCGTAATGAAACGTATCAAATTTGTCAAAGGCAATGCGATGTGCGGCCAAAGGACGTGAAGTAATAGCCCACGTGAGCCTTGGAAGGGCCATCAGGGATCAACTCGAATCATCCCACGGAGCAAGGACAGCAATTACAGACGTTGCAGGCAAGGATCGTAGTAGAAGGTCAAGGCCTTCAGAGATCTTCAGAGCCAAAAAAATCATGTGGCTGCATACAACTCGTGTTCGGTTGTGGATACTCTGTGGGTTTAAGCCCCCCCAAATGCCCTCCAATTATCAACTGGGCACAACTGGGCATTACGTATTCAGAAGTATTCATAGAATTTCATGGTTCCCAGCAGTTCCCAGCAACTTGGGAAATGTTATGACATTTTCTTATGATTTTTTCTTATGAAATGACGTTTTAAAGCTTTAACTCAAGATGCTGTCATTGTCTGATGGCCTCCGGCAAATGAAGCACCTGTCCCAAGCGGAACGCTTGTCGTGTCAGGACCTGCTCACCTCCGCGACGAGGTCACCAAAAATCACCGATTCGGTCACCGATTCATTTCACCAAAATCACCATTTTGATGATATGTTGATGATGTTTTAGATTTTTATTGTATATTGTGATGGTTTTGGTTAGTCTATTTAGTTTTGATTTTGAGCGCGAGTGAGATATAAGAGATATTATGACACATTAAATTACATCGTTTTGAAAAAAACAGGTGATGGGCTTCCGAACTTGTTGCTGTGATTCTGCGTCAATACCACAAACACACAACGCAGGAGACAACATCGTGATATTACCTGTCCATACATTTCCGGCCAGCAACTGAATCCCGGTGCCTGTGCCGGAAGAAAGCTTGGAGAAAAAGCCAAGCACCGTGTTGAAGCCAAGATCGCGCCCCTGGCAAACGTCATGAGATATCATGACTCAATTATCATGACAGACCTTCATGAGATGTCACGAGATTACACGAATCAGCGCCACAACTGGAAGAAAGCATGTCCCAATATGTCCCAATATTTTTTCGATAACTCCCAATATGTTCATCATATGTCCCTTTGATGATCTTTGATGTGCTTTGGGGATCTCATGGTATCTCCGAGCTCCCCAGAGTTCCGAGTCATCCCAGTCAGGCCGGCCTTGGCCAGGTGGAAGTACTCCGAGTGCCTAAGCTATGCAGACTTTACATCTTTAGTGATTTATATAAAATTATATAAATATCGAATGAATATAGAATGATTGAAATGATTGAAAGATATTTAAAGTGTGTGGCATCTGCTCGCTTCTGCTCTGAGAGCAGTGAAAGCCTATTGGAAGCCTAGGCCTAGTGGCTTGATGGATCGTCCATTACCACGCAAGGTAAAGTCCATTCCTGGCCACGCCGTCTGCAGCGGATGTTGGAAAATGATGGGAAATGTATTGCAGGTATCGCTTGGATTTGCTCCCAGAGAACACCCATGAAAAATCATATGAAAATCCTCCAAGAATTGACCATTTCCTTGATGCTTACAAAACATCTTGTAGCATCGTTCAGCAAATCCAGGGGTCCTGCGAAAATGTCCTCCGAAAGGTTCACCGTCTTTGTTGCTTTGGAAACGCCTCCTTGCTGCATCATGAAGAGCCTTTGGTTTCAGACACATTTCAAGATGATTCAAGATGCATGCCATATCATGTCATGATCATGTCATGATCATGTCATGATCATGTCATGATCATGTCATGCTGTGGGGCTGCCTTTCTAAGCTTCCAATGAGTGACGACACTATACCTTTGTTGTTTGAATGTTCCGCAGGAGCCTTTCGCTTCACCAAGCGGCTTGTTCATGATATCGGGATGTCCGTAGTGCATACGAGCGCCAAGTACGGCCTTAACCAGAAGAATTAATCTGGTCATATCTGGTCTCACCAAGACAGCTCACAAAGCAAGCTGAAGCTGACAAGTGGATACAAGTGGCATATGTTCGCTGGAGAATCGTGCCGAACGCCACTTCCGCCGAGGCCGCGAAATCTCCGATGGAACCGATGTCACCTCGATGCATGTAGATTTGAACAGCATTGAACCAAAGGACCAAAGGACCAAAGGATGATGTGGCGTCTGTCTATGTCTGTCTCATGTGAGATATGCGCATCGCCGCATCTGCATGAGATCAGTGGGGGATAGTGGGGGTGCATCTTCAAAGAAATGCATAGATCTGGGCCGTGTGTCATGCGGTATGAATCCTGCAATGCATCCTGCTATATGCACCTTGCTATAATATGCATATGATATGCATATGATATGCATATGTATGCTATGTATGTATCATCCTGCCGAGTTTCTGGTAATGTGCTCCGGAAAGCCCACGATCTTCTTCGAAAGGCTATCTCCTCGCTTCTTCGAGCGGAACTCGCCTTGGTCAGGACATGTTTTTTCAAATGTCAAATGTCATCAAGAAGCATCATAGAAGCATCATAGAAACATCATAGATCATCATAGATTCAGATCCAGATCCAGGGTCAAGGTGCTGGAACAACTCCTCCAAAACCTGTACATCCCAAAATCATCCAAGTTGCCAAGAGCACAGGGAAGTAACATCATCTGTTCCTCAGTATGTTGAATCTGCTGTCCAATCATCAAAAGTGCAATTTTGCAGAAGTTGAACTGAAATGTCCGAGTTCCTGTCATATCCTCCCATAGCAACATGAAATGAATTTTAATCAGCTCACACTTGAGCAACATGGAGCAACCAGAGCAACATGGCGCAACCACCATGAGCGACCCATGGCAACCCCTACCCCCAAGATATGCAGCACCAGGATCAAAGTATGCCCCTTGGTTGGCGTCGATGCACTGAGTGAACACACCCCGCATGAAGGGAATGGCATGGTTTTGGTTGTCACCCTTTCCATCTCCCAAGATCGGATAGCCGGGAAGTTCCACGCGGAATTTTGCCTGTGAAGGGCTGAAAATAAAACAATGACACAGTGACAAGTCATGAGCAGCCCAACAAACCATGAATGAAGATGAATGATTTGTTTTTCAAACAGCTGACATGCAACAGAAGACTCACGTTTGGTTTGACGCTCTTCATGTAATGAGATTGAGCACACAAATCGCAAAGAAACCCAGCAAAATGCGAATTTCATTGGAACGCTGCACAGGAGGGCTCGCCTTTTTCAAACCACTTGGGAGTTCCTCACATGCGCCGTCAATCAGACTGCTGTAGTAGCGCCGCTTCTGTTTCGGGTGAACCAAGTCCAACTCGGCCGTGATGCCTTTGTCGTCCTCAACGGCTTGATTTTACCAGGGACCACCAATTTCAATGAGTTGTCACGTTATCACGGTTATCACGGTTATCATATGCTATCATCATCCCATTACAATTGACAAACCTGTTTTAAAGGTTGAAATCCTGGAAAACATTGGAAAACATCACCAAAGGGAACCTTGATGTGTGACAAAGTTTCTTGATGTTTCTTGGCTATCGTCACACATGCAAAAGCAGACTGGTTGGGATTCGTTCTCTTCACGAAGCTTCAGGGGATTGGGCAGCGTAGCCAAGCAGCACAGTCAATGAACGCGACCTTCAGACAGTCTGGGAATTTGGCGAACATCCTGCATCGCTGCTGGGAAAACAGCCATTCCACAAAGAGCTTCCAACTAACAGACCATGTGATCAAATGTGATGGGATCGATTCGATACGACCTTGCAGTGTCTGGACATAAGATCACTGGTCCCTCAAATGGTGAATCAAGCATTCCAAACTCCTGAGGAAAAGCTGCTGCGCGCAGTAAGTTCAGTCATGTTCAGTCCTATTGGTGTGCGCCAGTTGTGTCCGGTCAAAGAATTTGTACCTTGGGAAAACTTGGATTTTTGAGACACCATAGAGGCAATCAGGCCAGAAGGGCTGCCATCATCTCCGCCATGGCACATGTCTCTAGAATTGATACCAAAGAAATCCAAGACTTGATACATCTTGATACCATTGAGAACTTTCCACTCTAGGCTAGTGAGATCCGCTGGTTCAATGGGTTTGAAACGCACTGGAGTTAAAAAGCGGCCAAATGATCCAAGATGATCCAAGGATATCCAAGGGACATTTGCATTGAAACCAAGCCTGTCGGGGAGTCAAGGTGTCTGAAAGATTGCTGGGGACAGCAGTGACAGACAGTCACAAGAGCCCAATCGGTCGGCCAAGCAACATGTGAAGCAGTCGCTGGCATTCCAAATTCCTGGCTTGGCCAGGCTGCTCTTGCGATCCGCCTGCACCTGAGCTGGATATTAAGAAAATGATGTTGGCATATGTATGTGTATGTGCGTATATACATATATACGTATATATATATATCATATGTAAGCTCTATGAATGGCTTCCCCTGGCGCGAGCTCCATTTCAACTGAACTTCCCCATCCATTTCAGCTTCAATCCAAGAGGCCTCCCAGTGACATTGCAAAGCCGGATGGTATAGGCACATGCCTGCAACCTTGCTACAGGTTGCTACAGGTTGCGGAACAAAAACCCATCCATCACGAAGTGTTTTTTCTTCGGGAGATCTGATCGAGATTTGCCAAAATCTGCTGAGATGCTGTACGCCATAGTGTCTGCATACGCATCGATGCCCAAGCACTGATGGTGCTCCACTGTTGATCTGTGTACCTTGCAAGAATTATGATGAATTATGAAATCATCTTGCAAGTATTCAGGCTGATCTGGGAGGCGCGGAACTAGCAATGGCTCACAAAACTTCAAGCACGTCGTTTTGGCCTTTTGGATCTTTTGGCAACTGCCAAGGTGATCCAAGGTGGCCAAATGTGGCCAAATGTGGCCAAGGTACTCTTCCCACTGACTTCCTTGCACGGGCCAGCCGCTGTCCCCCCACTTGACCTGCAAATTTCAAGCCAACGGCTTTGCACAGAAAATCACAGAAACAAAGTTGAACGTCTGTGGTCTATGGACCTCTATGGGCCTCTATGGACATTTATGGACGTCTGGTGTGATTTGATCATATTTGATCCGTGGGACGTTGGACAGCCGCACCCTGCCTGCATTCGATTGGAAAAAGTGAGAAACTCTTCCTCGTACTTGGCGGCAAGCCTCAAGACATCTCGATACATCTCAAGACCATGAACCAGCAAGTGTCACCAACAGCTTCATCAGAAACCCTCAGGCTCCGGGGCATAACAGGTCATGAGTTGAGCATAAAACCAAGGCCCACACCAATCCATAAGAGGAACATTTTCCTCTCGCCCCTGAAATAGTTCCTTCTTCAACATCAGAATGGATTCTCCGTAGTGTGGAATGCCTCAATCTGCCGACTTCACGTGCCGTCTCTGGTTACAATGTCACAGCATGTCTTGCTAAAACGTTGACACCGCAATTTGATCGCTAAAAACGACACACGACTTATCGAACCAAAGTTGAACTTATTTATATATATGTGAGCATGTGTATATGATTAAATTATGTGTAGTTTATTTAGTTGATAATAGTTATATATATAGTAATACTAATAAAGAGTTATGATATCATATGATATCAGTGTGTGAGTGTGTTTGTGCGCAACCTTTTCCACCTTGCGCTGCACTCAACTAGGATCAGGCCATCAGGCCATCAGGCCATGGTACACACCGTGAGGCCCGGGAAGTACGGCGCACGGAAGGGTCGCGGCATAGGAAGTCCCAAGCCACGAGACAAAGCGAGCAGCCGCCATTGGACCTTGGCTCAGAAATATTCAGAAATTGCTGAGCGTTGACAGCGTTGACAGCGCTGTCAACGATCAGAAAGCACAGCATATCACAGCATCATACACCATCGCTTTCAAATGTTATCAAATGTTAAAGAACGCAATAGAAGACATGCAACATCATGCAACTTGTAATACATCAGGTCTGGATTCTGGATATACCAGCATTGGAAAGTGAAGGTTGAAATGCCAATCTATGCCAAGGTGCATCCGCATTGTTCGGCCAGTGGGCGTCGTGCATGCAGCAGTATGTCTTGAAGCCCACCTTCATTCCGCTCAGATTCCACCCAGATAGTTTGGTTGGCTTCGAACCCTTGACACAACCAGTCACACCACCCTGGGAACCAAGTCAATGAGTGTTGCAGCATTCTATCTTATCAACTTAGTCATCATTCAGAACCTCTCATTCTCCAACATCATAATGTGTGACTATACATTGTAGTATGCTTTGATCATCTCCCATCACTTTTCTATCTATCTGAAACTATCTATCTATCTATCTATCTGTCTATCTATCTATCTATCTATCTATCTAAAGTCTTGAAATTGTATCCCACAATGTAAGATCCGCCACCAGACCATCCCCTGTGAATGCTCACCTCGAAGGCAGTTTTCTCTCTGAAGATATCGGGGACTTTGATCTTCCTTCGTGGCTTTCCTGTCGTCTGTCCCGACGTCACTCCCGCTTTCGGCAGCGTGGTCGCTGCATAGCTGCCACCTGGCATCAACTCAGCACCATCCTCACCCACTTCACGGCCACCCGGAGAGATGGGTTCACGGCGCCGTTTGGCCAAAGGCTGTCGAAGTTGTTGCCAGTAAACCTAAAGACATCGACAGGGATCAGAATGATCAGATAAGACTATGATAAGACTGATAAGACATATGTATATATATATATAAGATCAAATCTGTGAAATCTGTGAAAGGAAAACTCGACGGAAAATCTGGTGCTTTGCAGATCTTTGCCCCAAGTGCATGAGAATCATGAGAACGTACAAGGCTTTTCAAAACAATGCAGCCTTTACCACCCCCTTTGGCATCTGAGACACTTGATGTCCAGACTCCCCAGATTTGAAGGACAAGTCCCCCATAAGGTGGTTGTCAATCTTATCCTCATATCGCATGTACTCCAGGATTCGGTCCCAAATAGCAGGGAAATATGGCGAAAACTGTGCCACCTGCCAAAGAATCACAGCGCGTCACAGGCATCTCAAGATATCTCAAGTATTGATGCCATGTTGAGACTCTCTCCTACGCATATTTTACGATTCATTCCGCCAAACATTGAAATGTTTTTCTTGCAGGACCTACGCAAGCAACCAACAATGCAAGGCAAATTGGCACAAAGAGGCGCACCTGCTCACCAACCCGGCTCTCAGACATTCCGAAAGAATATGGGAGCACCTGAACACAAGCTTTTTGCATGTTTTTGCAATGTCCATGCATTTTTGGAATTCGTGGGGAAGCACAGTGATGAGTCGTACATCCCATGTCATTTTAAATGGCGTCAATCTGATTCAACATTAGTTGAAACCAGATTCTCTTCAAGATTCTATTGAAGTCGATTTTTTGATACCGAAATTTCTCTACAGTCTCTACAGAATGATTCTGATTCAGTATTGATATGTATTGATATGTATTGATATGTATTGATATGTATTGATATGTATTGATCAGCACATAGAATCACTATATTGATCTCTACAGAATCCTTCATCAGTTTAGATTTGGCTGGCATTGGCTGGGCCTTCCTGGAGAATCGCTCGGGGAGCTTCGCAACGGAATCTTCCAAGGCCCAGGTGAAACAGCGACAGCCCCGCTGGACCATCACTGTAGCGACACCCAAGATGGAGCACAGCAAGGTGAACCAGAGCTGCGTATCCGAGATGAAGAGAACGAAGGTAGTAGACCACAGTACCTTAAAAGATCTAATGATTCTGATATATAAAAGACTGACATATCTTGGAGTCAAAATCTACTTGAAATATTTGAAATGAAATGATACGAAGGATTCATGGTTCATAATTATTCGAAAATGAACGTGTTCAGCGTATTCAATATTATTCAATCAATGGACCTTCCAAGGCTACATGTATATATACAATATACCTTCGAGCTCACATTCCAGATCGCCTCCAAGGTGCAAACCATAGAAGGAAATCAGATCCCCATTCCGTGCTGTAATAGATCTTGGAAAGTTCTGAAACAGACTCACGGCCTGGAAGAGCAATCTGCAATTCCACTGTGGCTTCGAACATCGCCCGGAAAATGATCAAGGCCAAGATGAATTTGATGGCGAAGAGTGTAATCCAAAAGATGTAGCGCACCAGCCGTGAAAGGAGTGGAACGGGACTCATCTCCCACATCATATCGGAATTACTTCCGCAGCTTCGGATGCATGAGCCCGATGGCACAAAAAGCAAATATCCCAAGCCGACCCCTGACAGCGCAAAGTGAAAGACCAACAAAGGTACTAAGGGCAATCCCAGCTGGCTGTCTTCGCCAAGGGTGGAGTCTCGAATTCCGGCATACGTCAGGACAGGCAGCATCCTGAAACAGTGTTTCAGGTCAAATTGACAAAATCACATGACATGACATCTACATAGATCTAGATAGTATGATATAGTATGTAAATATGGAAATCAACATCGATCAACGTATGATCAACGTGTTTGTTCCCGGCTCACAGACGCACAACGGAAGTGTTCTGAGGCCAGCTCCACCAAAGTGCCTTCCAAATACCTTGGGTGAACTGGGCCGTAACTGGGCCATGATTTACGCTGCGAGATCCTGGGAGTCTCAACTATGCAGCCATGTCACTGCGGCTGAAGCACGCCAAAGGTGCCTGCAAACGTAGGACCCGTCCTGGTCTTCTTGAAACGCCACAGTCAAATCAGTCCAAGTCATTCCTTAATGCCCATTCGCAAATTGTGATATTTTTGATAAATAGTAGCAAATGAAAGTCAAAGTGAACAGTCAACACCATCTATGCAGGCATATGCAGGCAGCAGTAGTGTGACCTGAATGTGACATGATTGACATGTAGTTGTCGAATTGCGTCACATCTGGTCACATATCGTCAGATCAAGCTATGATCAACTTATGATCAACTTATGATCAACTTGTGATCAACCTGTATCAGCCCGTGCCAACGGTCCTGTCACTTGCCACCGGGCACAGGACCACAGCAGAGCATGGAGCGGCACCACCAGCGCCACGGCGGCGAATCGAACACCGCCACTGGTGCCCAGCAAAGGCTGTTGACCATCCAGTGGTTCAGGATCTCCAGCGACGGCACCTCAGAAATTTTCAGGGCCAATAATCGATACGTAATTATTATATAATTTAATATCATTATTAATTACAAAAAATAATAATCTATTTAATCTATGCATCTGTCATGTCAATCTGTGTGTGATATGTGTGCATGTATAATATATGAAGGATTATGGAGGTATATAAGGGGTAATAATTGGGTAATATGACTGTAATATGAAGAATTACTGTATGGCATGAGGGCCTGGAAGGATCTGAAGGGTTTGGCATTTGGATTCTTTGGTCAGCGACACCTCAACATCTGTCCCAGCCCGGCTTCAGCTTAAGCCAAGTCTCACACACCAGAGAAAAAAAGGACCAGGTGCACAAGAACAATCCGATGCGTTGTTGCAAAAACGCCCCACAAAGAGTGGATCTCTCTGTGCGTTTTGGTCTCAGCTGCTTCCAATGTGACCTACATGGCGACGCCGCTGGAAGTTTAGGATATGTCCAAGATATTCTAAGATATGTCATAGGAAATCTTGGCATAGGAAATATGATGGAAATATGTCAAAATGTGTTGGGGGGACAAGGCAGCTGGACAAGTTTCGAGGCAATCGCCTGAAATATCGTGAGTTACATTAGTTACATTACTTGAGTTTTGGATGTTTTAGGTGACTCGAAGGGAGCACGGATGTCGACGGATGTTGAACCAATTTTGAAACAATTCCCCGGCCCTATGTAATCATGTTTCATCATGTTTCAACATGTTTCATGAGTATTTCAGATTTCATTCCATTTCCCAGAGACTGCAGCCTGTCCTCCCCAGGTGCACCTGCCAGTCCACCCGTGGCAAAGCCAAAAAGCGTCGTTCGTGAGGCAAATCGAAGAGCCGGGTGCCATCTTGCAACAGGAGACCCTCCACCATGCGCGAAGGATCACAGAAGAACTCGTTCCAATCCTTGACGACTTGGCAAAAATGGATTCCGCAAATGTGCAACCGACTAATCGACATAAATGAAATTAACATAAATTGACATGACCTAAGCATATATTATCATATATTGTACTGCAAAAGTTATTACCCCCAAGTCATTGCAAAAGCTATCACAGCTATCACAGCTATCACATAAGCTGCGAAAAAGGAGTGGAGCTCTTGGAGCTGGATACCGTACCCAACACATTCTGAAGTCTAAAATATGCCTGATGTCCGAAGAAATAAGCGGAAACCGGCGGAAACATAATGAAACATATGGAGAAATGCAAGGCTATCTCAACATATCTCAATAGACAGAACATAAGTGGGAGGCCTCAGATGGTTAAGCATTCCAGCGATAGAACTCAAGACAAGTCTGTGACAAGAAGCATCGTAGTTTGCAACCTTATCGCCAGCACAGAAACAACACACACGATCGCACATGTGAAACATGTGAAACTGAAAGGTCATAGCGTGTAGAGTATGGCGATTGTGACGGACGCAAATCCACCACGCATCATGTATGCTTCCAACAGCGATGACATCAATTTTATGTCCGAGCAGCATCCGGAGGAAGAAAGTTCTCCAGACCTGGTTTCAGCTTCTTCTTGTCCTTCTGATTGTTTTGGTCAATGTCCACATACTGATACCTGGCAGACTCTTCACGTGTTTGAAGCACTTTTTGAGGCTACATGCTACATGGCTGTAAGTGAATCTAAGTGACTCTTCACAGAAAGTCAGCTGGCTTATTGAAAAGCCGAGGTGCCACTCATCGAAGACCACATTGTAAATGGGACGGATGATCTTACTTAGGAAGCAATTGCTCCTCAGCAGGCGACCACACCTTCCAGTGCCTCAACAAAAAATGATCAAAACATGATTCAACAACGATATTCAACATTGATATACATTGATTAAAGTGATTACATATTGATTACATCATAATCATTCATAATCGTTCTGCACGACAAGTGATACAAGTGCAACACGGGTGGTTTTGCAATGTCCTGAAAGGTGCTCCGGGTGGACTGGGCTCTGGGATACTTGTGCCGTAGAGCGCTTCGAAGTCTGCAGGGTTTGCCGCCAGTGCCAGCTCCGTGATGAAATAAATGGCCTCCCCAAGCGAAGCTTCGAAATTCGATTTCTGAGCCAAAAGAATACCACAAGAGCCAGATTAGAAATCTTGGAATACACATTTTACGTTTTTGGGCGACCGGACGCAGGGCCGAGCCTCTGGCATAAATCTCACATTGCCGGCCTGACCAAAAGAACACTGGGCGCAAAGGCACAAAGTGGCCGCAAAAAAGGTGACAACACGTGACGGCATATAAATAGCATACAGCAGTGAAGCATCAACTGGCGAGTTCTGTGGAGTTCCACGGTTGGTTCATGGCAGTTCATGGGAATATACAAGGCTTCAAGGACAAACATGGAGAATGGTCAAACATATTGAAAACTATAGTATTCGCTGAGTTTCAAGTCAAGCGAACGGATCAATCTGGATCAATTAGTGAATCGAGCAATGCCAAATAATGCCAATGCGCCAATGCGCAAATCCAAGCGAGCCTCGCCCCAGACCAACAAATAGGTTGCCATCTCTGTCAATTGGCGCGACAGCACTGCAGCAGTGGAAGGCTCCACCGATTCTTTCAGTGGTTCCCACTTGGCACCGCCAATCGGTCGAGGTCTTGGTGGACCGAACTTCAGCTGCCTAAACACTTAGGCCCTATAGGCACTTAGACTAACACTTAGACTAAGAGTTAGACAGTTAGACTATATAGTAGACTATAATAGACTATATAGCAAATTATTAGCAGATTAACAGAATTAACAGTGACAAATCATGCCAAATCTGAGATTTGATCACTCGATTCGGGATTCGGGCCAAGAGGCTCATCATCCGAAAGTGGTGGCACGCTTGCACTTTCCAAGTCGCGGAGATTCTCCTTGGCTATTTGGAACATTTTGGAACAGCTCATAAATCTGAAGCAATGAATATAGCATCATATAGCAATACATCACCATCTCAAGTTTCTCAAGCCTTTGTCATTCCTATGTCATCCGATGTCAAATCGACATATAATCGACATAAGTTCTTTTTACAAGCATCTCTCCAACGAAGAAAGCCATCCAACATCTCGAAGTATAGATCTCCAGCCGCCTGCAAGTGGCACATGGTGGCACATGGTGGCACATGGTGGCACATGGTGGCACATGGTGGCACATGGTGGCACCTCCGAACACGCTATTCAATCATATTCAATCATATTCAATCTATTCAATGGATAACGATCCTGTAACAAAAACATTCTGCAATGAAGTTCTGAAAAAAAATAATCCAGGGAAGAACAAAAATTGCAACACAAAAGCGGAATAGATTTGCTTAAAAACGAGCAGCGTATTTTTCAGATCCAAATAACCCTGTGTGCGAAGTGCCAGAAATTAATTGCACAAATGTACTGTACCGAATGGAACGGGATAATAGCTATACAAAATGTGTGATGCACATGCACAATCCAAACAACGACTCACATGCTTCTAATATCTTCTAATATCTTCTAATGTAGATTCTTGTCGGTTCACAACTCCTTGGTGAAATAGGAGTAAAGAAAACTCAGAGCAGGTATGCCTTTGCGCATTTCGATGTTCCTAAATTCTGAACTCACTTCACCCATCTTCACTCCTTCGTCCTTAGGTCCTTTCTCCTTGACTTCTTGGAGATATGATAGGGCTGATATGCCCAGCCTCCTGCAGCAGCACAGTCTCATTGACCGATGCACCATGGCCCACGCTGCGGTCAGCCACCATGGCGCAAGAAGAGCGCCACAGCGACAGGAAATGTTCGTACTGATTTCGGACACTATCTGCCTGCGAAGCTGGGAAGCTGCACGGAAGCTGGATGGTGCTATACACGAAGGGTCAAGATGGGTCAAGATGGGTCAAGTCGACCACAGAACATATCATCTCCATTGGCAAGATGGACATAATTTGACAATATTTGACATAATAATATATAATCGTAATAAGCAAATTCTGGAGCGGGCATACTGGTGCACACTGTACAGATTTGACACCATGATTTGCGCATGGCATGTCAAGTGACAAGTGGCATCAAAGTGACCACTGAACACACAACATCACACAACCACACACAAATAGCCCACATTGTCCCAAAATCTTCAGCAGCGGCCTGAAAGTCAAAGGTTTCTTTCAAGGCACCAAAAAGACTACTGGTGGAGTTGGCGAAGTCAGAAGCGCCCGGCAAAACACGCAGGCAATGTCGCTCTAACCACTCCACCTCCAATTCCTTGGAAGCTGGGAGGATTTCAAACGGAAGAGAGGACTATATTAAATATATTAAGACTGCCAAAATGGCATCTCACTGCCTGAGAGCCAGATGTGGAATGTTTGATATGAGTGAAGATGAGTGAAGATGAGTGAAGATGAGTGAAGATGAGTGAAGATGAGTGAAGTGTCATCTCAAAGCATTTGATCATATTTGATAATATCATAAGCAGTCATAAGCAGTCATAAGCTATTGGATCCTGAGATATCCTGATGAGATTTGCCATGCCGACATCGCCGAGGCACCTTTTTCAAAGCACTCCTGCAAGAGACTCTTGGAGTTCGAGATCCAGGTCTGCTTGGAAAAACTTCCTCGCCTGACGTGAAGGATTGCATCGGCCAATCGATGCCAATCGCGTTCAACGTGTGTCTGCTGTGTCTGGGGGACATATGGGGACATGAGTGTGTGTCAGTTCCGCAAAATCTTTTGGAGTTCTGGAAATTTCGGAAACCGTCCAACATGCGCACTTGACTTTGCAAAACTTTGCAACCTGCGCTTGCCTGACACACTTGTTCCCTTTTTGTGCCTAGAATCTTGTAACCGCTTGTTACTAACTGCTATCCCAGGCACGTTCTACCATCTGTTCGGTTTCTTTGCTTGGCTGCGGAAGGATCCAAGACGACACCACTGAGATAGTAAACCTCAATAGTAAACACCATTATCGTCTATCGGAGTGTACAAAATCTTCAAATGCCGCCAATGCGCATGGATTCTCTAGCTCGCCAGCTTTTGCCAGCTTGAATCACCTGATATCACTTGATATCACTTGATATCATGCTGTTCTGTCTGGTAGAACTCAGAACCAAGGCGCAAGATGGCCAGGAACGCGATTGGAACCAACAGTGCCACCTCTCAGATGGCACAAGCTGCAAAAATCCGCACAAGCACAAAACCAAGCCACACCAAGTGATACTAAATGACCAGTTTATGACCGGTAAGAATGGGTAAATGACTGGTCTGACCTTCACATCACCTTCACTGTTGGCGGGGTTGGGCCAAGTTGGGCCAAGTTGGACCAAGTTGCTGTTGAAGCTGACCAAGTGGTGTCGATGCAATAGGGAGCCCGAGGCCTTGATAACAGCGGTGTTGTGATGACGGGATATGACGGGATGATGCTTCAACTAGGATCAAATAGGCTCAAGTTTCATCAGTTTCATCTACACATTTTGACCTCAAGTTAGATCTATTTAGATCTGTTTCAATAATTTCAATGTGATTTCAACAAACGTTTCAGCCCAAGGCAATGTGCAGCACTTCCGGCCCTGGAGCATCACAGCACCCCACCTGACACGTTTCAGGGAGATTCAGGAATATGCATGTGGGTTTATGTGAGAGATGTCCCAACCACTGCAACTGATCTACGAAGGTTTTCAACAATGCAGTATGCAGTATAGATTCTATAGATATCAATAGTATGCACGTGTGCGAATATCAATAAAATCCGCATTCTGAATGAATGATTCGCAATAACAAGGCGACATTGTAGTGTCAAATGCCACAGAGTGTTGCCGTGTGTTTAACTGCTGGCGAGTGGCGCATTCACCGCCAGGGTTGCCGCTTCTCGGGTTAGTGTCATGCTTTCATTCTCGGTGAGTCTCCAAAGGCTAAGCTCGGTGTCAACAATCTGCCTACCATAACAACACATTGATCACAACATGTCACAACTCATAACCATTCATAACCCCATCTCTCACAAGCGTCTGCATGCAACTCTTAGAATCTTTATGATCTTTACGATCTTTATAATATATATATATACATATTTATGATCTTTATGACACTTATGACATCTTATGACATATGAAGGGAGCTGGATGCGACTCTTCTGAGATCTTCTGAGACTCTGCTTGTTGCTTGTTGGTATGCTGAAGTTACGATCTTCGATGATCTTCGCGCCTGGTTGCATTCTGGCACAGTTCCAAGGCAAGATCGCCTTTCGCGTGCCATTGAAGATTGTCCAGGCTATAGTCATCCCCAAGCAGCATCACCAGGCCTCAGATCCGCCCGACAAAGACATTGGGCGACCCTCAGACGGCACTTTTTGAGGGGCATTTCTACCCATGTTCTACCTATGTTCTATGCATTTCTTCATATTTCTTTAGAATTTCTTCATATTTCATGCCTTGCTTCATCCTTTTTCATCTTTTTCATCTTTTCTCCACATCTCCAAACGCATGTCTAAAGCATGGCACCTCGGTCAAGATCTGTTTCGCCAGATCCCATGGATCGAAAATCCTCCACAGATTTGGTGACCTCACAATGGACCAGTCATGACCAGTCGGTTGTATTCGATTTTCCCATGATTCCCATGTCCCAAAATGTCCCAAAATGTCCCAAACAAGCAAATCTTGTCCAAGTAACGGAATATGAACAGTACATTCTACGTCATCCTACACTACTGGGCTTCAACTCAGCAATTGTATGTAATTATAATATGTAATTGTTGCGTTTGAACATGTCGAGAAACACTGACTTCAAAGGAAAGACATGGAAAGACGTGGAAAAACACACATGGACCGTTCTGCAGCACTGCAAATTCCTTGACGTCATCAGCTGGGCCGGCCTTTGCACAATTTAATTCGATCAGTTTCTTCAGGCTTTCCCTCGAGTAGGATTCAGGAACTGCGCACCTCAGGGTCAATCATTAGCACACGGCTTTCACGGCTTTAGAATTAGATAGAATTAGACTGGAGATTGCTGCATGCGGTGCTGGTCAGTGCAAAACGTGAGCTTCTAAGGTCAGTTAAGATCAGTATAAACAAGCCCAAGAGACACAAACGCTGCTTCGCTTGAGTTTCCAGTCAAGTTGTCATCGTATGCGAGCACATCTGTAAATAGCGCTAGAAGGGCTGCTAAAAAAAATAGGGCCTCAGTTGCAATGGCTCACATGGCCTGGTCCATCCTGGTCCATCCTGGTCCATCGGTCCACGAGTTCCTCTGTTGAAAATTTTGGAAAGTCTGTGTCTGGTCCAATTCCGAGCATTTGGCCATCTTGACCCGTCTTGACCTCTTTGAATTCGGGCTTTCGGGCTTTGAGTGGACCGGGAGCTTGTGCCCTAAGCCCTAAACTCAACCCTTCCTACACCTTTGATGTTTCATCTGCGAGGAGCGTGTCAAGGTTTGCCCCCAAACAGCCAACATATCACTACAGTGCATACAAAACATTTGGAAAAGGCAACGATTAAAACATCAGCGTTCGCTTGAACAACTTTCAGCACATGCCATGGGTCATCACTGGTCAACCTTCAAAGGCCACAACGCAGAATCAGCGCCGTCGCCCCACATTTTTTCATCCGACCATTGGTGTCCAAAATCATTCGCACCAAAGGAACGACCCAAATGGCTGGAATGCTAGAGATGTCAATCGAATGACCTTTTTGATATTTGTTGGGCATGCGTAAAAGTTGAATCCCATGACTGTGTCAGGCCCTTTGATGCAGAAACTCATGGACGATCATTCTGCCACCAGCTTCTGCCGATTCTCCACAAAAGTTTCGCCTCACCCACTTGCATGTCGCAAACAGAGTTGAAACATGTTGAGAGCAACCTCATTCCAGCATGCAGAACTAACTAAATGACAGTAATTCTCTTATATTGGTGGAATTTCTGCAATTTCTGCAGGATAGTAATAAATAGTTCTGTAAGTTAAATAGTATATTTAGTTTATTAAATAAGTATATAAATGTAATAAATTATTCGAATAAGATCGAAGACTTCCTGACTTCCGCATGGTGACCCCAGGTTCCCGGCGCAGCTTCAGCACGGTTTTTGTGGCAATCTCGTTGATGACCTCAGCAGAGAGGGGAGTGAACGGAGAAGTTGATGGAAGGATGGGCGGCCCGGGTCCTGCGAAGCGGACGTTTTGGAGCCTTCCAGATGCATATGATGTATCAACATGTATCAATTCATAAAGTCAGGCACCGAGTCGGGCTGATTCTTGAGCTTGGGCTGCTTCCGCAACACCTTCAGAGCCAACAATATCAACAATAGGATCAATAACGATCAATAACGATCAATAACGATCAATAGGCAATTCGAAATCATCCCAGCAGGATCCAACGTATCAGAAATATTCAGAAATGAGAAAGCGATGCCAAGCGATGCCAAGCGATGCCAAGCGATGCCAAGCGATGCCAAGCGATGCCAAGCGACATGTGTTGCAATCGCATTGGCCAAGCCCCCGTCTTTGCGGCGAATTCTGGCAGGGTGCAGAAGTTGGGAGATGACACGCGCTCACCATTAAAACTGGCCACGACACATCTGTGCTCGGAGTACGGAGTAAACCCCATAAACAAAACACTGGCTGATGCTGGTTGCACGTCTGAAAGAAGCACCGTCACAGTCACTCCTGTTTGCAAGCTGCAATTGATATGTTTGCTCACAGACTGTAATTCCATCTGCGCCAAGTATCAAGTCCCACTGGTTACTGGTACTGTAGAAGTTCCGCATGATGGTAACCTTTGCTGCTCAGTATGCTCCACAGGCCTGTGTCTACGGCTTTAGTGTGTCGTTTAGATCCACCTGATTGCAACTTGGCAATACTTGGCGGAACTAATTACAGTAGTGGAAAGCACCAATTCATACAAGCGTCATACAAACGCAAGTGCAAATAGTTGCAAGAAATTGCAAGATGATACTTAGTGCCAGTGCAATGCTTCTGTCCTTGGGGTCTGCATCCCCACGAGATTCAAGCCATGTGGCAGAGCTGTCTAGCGACACAGCGTAGTGCCACCAGCCCTGGACAGATTTTTGTGACGAGATCTTGACCAGACTGCATTTGACTACCTTAGCGTGATGGTATGGCAGGTATTCCATATCTTCCCCTTTTTCCAAGATTTTCCAATGTAGGGACCATTTTTGCAGCTGATTTGGACCACATCAGATTGCGATAGTGCCTGCAGCGTCAAATCGTTCCCCTCACCTTGGGCGCAACGATGGTCTCACCAGCTTCCACCACAGCTACATAGGGCGTGGCTTTTTTGGCATCCTGCACCACGAATTCGGGGACAGGGACATCAAGGGCAGGCCTGAAAAGGGCTGTCAAACTTGCAACATCTCATGGACTACTAATGCCTACAGTACAATGCCTACAATGCCTACAAGTCACCTTGTTCCCTTGGTTTCTTTACCAAACTGTGAAACTTGGTTTCTTTGTCACCTACGAGCCTCTTCCTTTGTAGCGAGGCTATCTTCAATGCTCGTCTAAAGACAATGGTTTCAGAAAATTTCAATATGTTTCAATGAATATTGAAGCCCAATTGCAAGCACATGTCCATATATTTCCCTAATATTTTCCGCCCCAATGATCTTCCAGCCATCGCCGGTCCGGCCACTTCTTGAAGACCTCCGGGTCTAACGGGTCGAGCCTTGGGAACCGTTCGGCAGACCACAGCAGTTGGATGCGGCTGGGATGCGGCTGGGGTTTTAAAAATGCTGATGGTTTACCCTCTGGTTATGACTAACATAGCCATGGTATAGATGGCCCATTTATAGATGGTTTACCTATTACAAATTTTCCATGGCTATGTTGTTAAATAACCAGATGGTATATAGATATGTTTGGATCAGAAATCAGCTGAGCTGCCAGGAACCATTCAGCAAACCTTCGTCACCCTCAAAGGGATGAAGGTGCTCTCCATCCTGAGATACAAAGCCAACAGTATCCAACAGTGGAATGAATTTTACCAGAGTCTGCGTTGTGTGTCAAAGAGAACAAACAGTAACAAACACGCGCAAATCGATCACAACAAATCATTCTGCATCTCAAATCCTTCTGCAAGAGCTGTCAGGAAGCTTTTACTCAAGCGACTGGTCTGGAGAAATCAGCAGCTTTATGCGTTGCTTCAGACGCAGCATTCCTGGAGCTGTCTTTGCAGCTATTCGGATTGGAAAAGTGGAATCATGGATGCTGCTCCAGACATCTTCACCTGAGGCATTGCATGTTAGTAGAGCTGCTTTGGGATCATCGACACTTTGCAAGAGCAAGCAGAATCCCCAGACATCACCGGTACGAGCGCTGTAGTGCAACGGAGTGTCGCCTCAATTGGCCAAACCAAATTCATCAAATACCTCCACAGACTATATCACGCATATCATGCATATATCAAGCATCTGACATCCAGTCTCAAATCAACCTTCAGATCGATGATTCCATGATTTTCCAATTTTTCCATGTTTAATGCATTTTAATGCATTTTAATGTCATATGATACCATGAAGTCGTCAGAAGTCTAAGGTCAATCTGCGCAATTACAAGAACTTTCAAGCTGTGTCATGCCGTGTCACCATTAACGTCTTGGGCCAAGGCATCAGCTCCAAATTCCAACAGAATCCTCATCAGCTCTCGTTGCTGTCGCTGTTGTCGCTCAGATGAACCCGCACCATCTGGGCTGTTGATGGCTCGAGTCAGCAGCCGCGCAGCGATGTGCAAAGCCGTCTCATATCGAGATGGAGCTGCGCCGTAGTCGGCTGGGAGGGTCACGTCTCCTCAAGTTATCGCACTTCCGATCCCCTGAAATACAAAGTTTCCATACAAATCTGAAAGATGATAAGACATGATCACTTGATACTGTGATATCTGCGATCTAATTCAAAGAGAAAATGTATGAATTTATATGATGTGTATATTCTCGTTAGCTATCATTCTGGCAAATTCCTGCTGTTTGAACATGTTGATTGTATATATATATATCGTATTGTAGTTCTGCGGCATGCCATCCAGCAACTCTCAGCAGATGAAGCTCCTGTCAAGACGTTCGGGTCAACTCCATGTTGCAGCAGACATCTCAAGCAATCAGGCTGCCCAAAACCCACAGCTTTGTGAACTGGTGTCAATCCGGCCACATCATAGGTGGGCACAATCGTCTTGTGTTCAAGAAGCCTTATCCGCAATGGAGGTCTAGATGAACATAGATGAACCTATTCCCAAGCTCCAAATCGGAGCCTCTAAATCCATCTAATTCCTAGATGGAACATGATGGAACAAGAAAATGCACAAAAGTTCAACAGATTCTGCAAATTTCTGCAATGAAATCAAGCAAATCGAAGCAGCTTTTGGAGTACGTGTGCATGACCTGCGGAAGCTGCCATTGCCACGCACGAAGCTCCCGTGCGATCGCAGAGGTTGGGATTTGCTCCTGCCTTCAGCAAGGCAGACACCAATGGCAGTGCCCCACAGGCACAAGCCATGTGTAAAGCTGTCTGACCTGCCAAACATCTGCCAAACAAACGGTGAAATATGAAGTATGGTGAAATATGGTGAAATATAGTGAAATGTTGACGATTTGAACAAGGTACCATAACGGCAATTACCTCAAATATTTGAGACTGATTTGAGACTGCTAGCCTTTTTTACATCTTGTTGCATCAACATTCAGAAACTCAGATGATACTAAGATATTCAGATAAATAAGATTAAAAATGTGATAATAGGATTTAAAAAAGACAATAATCCCTTCCTCCTAATACTAAACGTCCCCCTAATACTAAAAACAGGCATCCATCTCCAATTTCCGAAAATTTCAGTTTGGCCAATTTGACTTTTAATTGATCCCCTTTAAAAACAATTTAAAAATCAACCTACCATTTGTGGGTTCTCCCCCCTAATACTAAAAACTAGTTCACCCCGGGGTGTTTAGTATTAGGGGGGCCTAGTCCCAATCCCTCACTCCAAGCTGCCTAGCTACTCTAGCAATTAGGGGTAAGCTTCTAACTGCCATTTTTGGCAATATTTTAATTGCGTTATATAAGGAAATTTAATTGATTTTGAGATCGGAAAAAATAGTTTTTAGTATTAAGGGTTTAATTTAGTATTAGGGGTAAGCTTCGAACTGCCATTTTTGGCAATATTTTAATTGCGTTATATAAGGAAATTTAATTGATTTTGAGATCGGAAAAAATAGTTTTTAGTATTAAGGGTTTTAATTTAGTATTAGGGGTAAGCTTCGAACTGCCATTTTTGGCAAGATTTTAATTGCGTTATATAAAGAAATTTAATTGATCTTGAGATCGGAAAAAATAGTTTTTAGTATTAAGGGTTTTAATTTAGTATTAGGGGTAAGCTTCGAACTGCCATTTTTGGCAATATTTTAATTGCGTTATATTAGGAAATTTAATTGATTTTGAGATCGGAAAAAATAGTTTTTAGTATTAAGGGTTTTAATTTAGTATTAGGGGTAAGCTTCGAACTGCCATTTTTGGCAATTTTTTTATTGCGTTATATAAGGAAATTTAATTAATTAATTAACATGACTTCGATTTGGTTCCCTAATAATAAATACCCCCCTAATACTAAAAACTACCTGCCGTGTTTTGTATTAGGGGGGGGGTTTAGTATTAGGAGGAAGGGATTAAGATAATTACACATGATAAATATGATATTCAGATGAAAAATCTGTTGTGTTTCAGATGAATTAATCAGTGGCCAGTGGAAGACCAGATCCAATCAGCCTAGGGAGGTCAGCGGCTCATCCACTTTCTCCAGCACCGCCAGCACCGCCGTCACGTCGCCCAGTTGGATGCTCCGCACCAACGCAGCGCACTTTTCCAAGCGCAACGTCTCCTGCACAAAACATGGAAAAAACATGGACAAACGTGGCACCCGCCTGGAACATGAGCACAAAATGAGTGTATACAGTATACTTGATTTATTGCTTGTTTTATGTTTGCTGTGTCACCAGAATCATGGTATGTTTTAAAAACATTTAATATCATTTAATATAATTTTAATTAATGTGTTTGATAAACAATGTTTCATAATGTTTCAATGTTTCAGTTTCACTTCATGTCTCACTCGCACCCAATCCCGGAATCCCATGGCATGCCTCCTCCAACTCGGAGTCGCAGCGAAGCCTGCTGGCCGTCGTAACCGCTTCACAGACTGTGAAAATACCGATGGCCAAGGGATAGCAGCATAGCATTCGAGCTCGCAAACATGCGATTTTCTATCAAAATATTTAACAATCTGATGAAGATGTGATGCATTGAAACTGGATGTCAGTCAAGACTGAAATGGATGTGAGATGATGCGAGATAGCCTCGCTTTGGGCCCAAACGTGACCCCGGCCAGCAACACGGGCTGCAGTACCTGCAAAGCAGCTCATTTCTGCAGGGAAAAAAGGCGTGTGCGGGTGTGTAAAGGTGCAAGTTGCACACAAAATTTGGTGTGTTGCTGACCCACATCAACAGCCGACTTTGCTACCGTTTGGTGAAATCTGCACCGGCTACCGACTGCTAGCGGCTGGCTTCCTGTCACATTCGGTCGCCTGCCGGAGAGGCACTCGCTTCGCCAACCGTCTCATTGAGACGTCAAGATCGTGAAGTATCGTCAAGTGCACGCCATTGGATGGCCATGGGCCAGAAAATCCTCACGTTCTGACGGTGACTAAGTCACTGCTGGAAAGGAAAAATATGAACAAATCAATATACAAATAAATAGCAGTACCGAATTGCCTGAATTCCCTCCCTTAGCCACCAGGTGTGCACAGGACGCTACAAGGACGCTACAAGGCTGCATAATTGAATCATATTGAATCATATTGAATCATATTGAATCATATTGAATCATATTGAATCATATTGAATCATATTGAATCATATTGAATCATATTGAATCATATTGAATCATATTGAATAAAATTACTAAATATTACTAAGCATCAGTGATGATCCCGTAAGTTGAAGCTTGGCCTTAACTGTTTTTGTATTTTTTTTCGTTTGAAGCTGACAGCTGCGATTCCGAGAAGGTCACCAGCAAACGCTCGAAGATCAGCGTGCACAGAGTCACGGTTCACGATGTTCACGGAACGGTTCGTGTATGTATACAGCATTTTTTCGGGAAACAACACCTGTCATATTGTCATATTGACTTGCCAACAAACATAGGCTGCACATGGCTGCACTGAAAGCATGGGTTCACGATGGTTTTCCGTAGATCCATGGAATCCATGCTTGAAATAAAAACCCTCCCCCAGCCCTGACACACAGGCAGCCCGACAGATGGAGCGAAGCAAACGAACATCTTTCTCCCTCGGCTAGTGCTTAGCCACCAAGTAGGGAACCAACCGGCCCGGCGGGAACGTATTTCAACATGTTTCAACATATTTCAACATATTTCAACGTGATGAGAGCATGATGTGAACGTCTTGAAGTGCTGTATAGCGTGTATAGTGCTGTCATGTGCTGTCTACAGGCCTTGAACTTGAGAGAGCCAAGCCTTGGTGCAGGCATCTCTGCAATGTAAGAGCTATCAATGAAGGATTTGCACAGATGCTGGTTGTCAAATACTTATGACCAGTTGGATTTAACAGCCAGCTTCCACATCTTCCACACTGCACTGTACGGTGTGTCACCCCTGGCAGTAGGTTTGTTATTAGACAAATGGCAAAGCATGTGCAAATACCCAGCCATACCCAGCCCAGCAGAAATCTGCTGCCGTTTTCACTTCGCCCTGGTCTTGGGTCCCAACGTGAGCACCGCCATTGTCGTAGTGTAAACGAGTGATGGCGCCCTTTGGGGACATGAAGATCTTAGTGAGGTCCCAGTCCTCGCAACAAACGCGATCAGTCATCTTAACCCTGTACTTTTTTCCTGCCATATTGATAAATCTTTCTTTCTTTAGTCAAATTTAATCTGTTCCTTTCTCTTTCTCTCTCTCCCTTTCTGCAATTCGGGGCGATCCGGGCATATCGGTATCAGTCTGACAGTCACTCTCCTCATTCTCCAGCTTCTGCGTTTGCTCTTCTTTGTCTGGCCTCAAAGACCCCGTCGAGCTTCAAATTGGCTCAATATCTTCTTAGGGTTGAAGAGCTCAAAGGGGCAAAGGCGGCAAAGGGGCATTGATAAATTTTGATGAATGGTTTACATTGGGCCAGTCACGTACTTTACGATTTTGGTCTCCGGGCGGTTGATAGCTTCCTCTTGCCGTCAACCCTTCCAGAAGAGACTGGCAGAGGCTCTGAAGGATTCGTCTGCACAGTTTGGTCAATCTTCAACCCTACTCACAGTCTACAATGATTCATCATAATTCGTCTTGCTGCCTGAAAGTCATGGCAAAACACAGCTTCTCACAATACCGGCCCAAGGCCCATTGAATTTCAATGAACAATCTCCCCGCTTTGGAAATTTGATGGGCCAAATTGGATGGAACCTCCAAAATCAAGCACCAAAGTGGCCGGCAAGTGTGCCATGGTGTGCCTCTCGCAAAGCTTCGGATTCTCGAATCAAAAGGGAATTCAGATCCTGTCAGCTGATGTCAGCTGATGTCAGCTGATGTAAGCTGGTAGTCCCCTCTGAATCCGATGAATAAGACCAAGAACCACAACATATCACACATATTCACACATATTCACACATTTCCAGTCCCCTGCCAACGAAATCTACCTGATAGATAAGTGCTTGTAACGTTGTGAACTTGAGACCCTTGAGTTATCCTGGACATGTGCACCCTTTTGAAGTGAAAATCATTGAAACCGTTCGAAACTCATTGAAAATCCGTCCCAGGGTGGCTCCCTCATTGCAACATATTGCGACTCTGCCTCAATACCCTGCATGGATGCCGCTGGAGTTGTAGCACCATCTGGCAGGACATACCCTCGAAGCCATGGCAACTGAGCAAACGCTGGCCATCCGTTCAGGTAAAGCCTCGCAACTGGAGCCATCGTTAGTGTAGCAAACGTGTATCTGGTTTAAATAGGATTATAGTATGCTATAGTTTATATATGTCGAAAAATTGTCGATCGTATCATGTATGTATGTACGTACGTACGTATGTAGCTATGTAGCTATGTAGCTTTGCAGGTATGCAGGTATGTAGGCATGTAGGTATGTTCAGGTATGTGGTATGTAGATATGTAGGTATGTAGGTATGTAGGTATGTATGAAAATATGTAATTATATAGGTATGTATGTCATGTATGTCATGTCTGTATGTGTGTGTGTGTGTACCATCTGAACAGATGTAAAACTTCTGATTGGTTTTCACTAGTTTGCAGGGGGTGCAGAGCACAGTGGAGACTGCACCCAACGAAGCTATCCACTTGTGCTGGAAGCAGAGTCTGATCAACTCTGTGTACCTGCAAAATTTGGTTTCAACTGTTGATCAAGCTGTTACACTGCGTTGTTTCGAACCTACACGGTTGCCACAATCTGTATTGCATGCATCAGAACCTTCCTCAGATTTTCGCCGAAACCATATCGCCGACAGTATTATGATTTTTTGACATATTTTCGCCGAGATCATGTCGCCGACGAACTTTGGGTTATTTTGGGAAACAATCGCCGAAACATTATTGTGGATTCTCAACATGCTGGTTAAAACTCTATGGATTCTGGTTTTGACTTCGTTTGACAACATTGGATGCCCTACATCGTTTTCGAGAAGTACCTCATGTGGCTCCTTTACTAATCTAACGATCTAGGCTGGTTTGCATGTTTCAGGATTCAGTTCCTGCCGGATCATATAATGATCCATTCTTGTCTAGTGTGATTTCCATGGTGGCTCCGACATGGTGCCATGGAGCCACTTGAGGCAACCCTTTTCAGGGTGAGTGTTGACAGTCTTGAACTCTGAATTCACACATTTTAATTTGGTAATTCGTTTACGTAATGTGCAACAGCTGGCCTTTCCGTTTTGCACCTTTTGTGATGTCCCGCGCTTCCGGCTGTCCTTTATGAACCCAGTGAATGCATCTCTATTGAGTGAAGCCACTTCGAACTACCAGAACCCTTTTTTCTCTGCAGCTTGCGCATTTGAAGTTCAACATGACATTCATGACAAAAGGCAACAGGCATGTCCTTTTCCTGCAGGTGTGGTCTCTTTGGTTTTTGGTGAGGTGAAACATTTTGTGCATCTAATTCGTTGGAATTTGGAAGCTGTTTTATGCCTTCGTGGCACGACTTGACCACGGTCCCGGTGCAGGGAATAATTGCACGACATCTTAGGCAGTTAGGGACTGAATCCTGTATGTGATTGTGGATTATTTCGCGGGATTACGGGTGACGGGTGACATAAGGCTATATAAAAACATAAGCACCCGACTTGGCTTCACAAGTGGCCAAGCAGCTGTGCTGACCAGGTGAACATGTTCGATTGTGCACTCTATGTTATGTCCCTATGAAACTAGCTAAAAACTAGCACAATCTCCAGATTCGCCACCCTTGAGATCAACTTCATTTCAGAACACAGAAGTTCCAACTTCAGATCACATTGGGGATTAGAACCTTGGTCCCAAAATCGCAAGAGTTAGGGTCAGCTGGGACAAATTCAAAGTTTCAAGTAGAATCTCAAGATTCGCGCATTTACCATATGACCATCATGGCAGCGTCAATGGAGCGATTGGGCAGCCTCAGGGTGAAATTGGAGGGGCTCTATCCTGTTGTGCTGCGGCATGGCAGCTGTGGGGAAGTAGCTGCCTATGCTGGCGCTGCGATGGATGTCAGCAAGCTGCTGGAGGATGCAGAGAGTTGCAGCCAGTTGGCGATACAAACGCTGCTTGGTGTGTCAAGCGTGCCTCTAGTCTCACTTATATAGTTATGTGCAATGAACGGTTGAACAAATCCTTGCTTCAACATCAGGATTCTGATCCAGAACGCTGATGAACAATGAATTAATCAATAAGCCAATTCTCATTTTGAAGTTTCTAGTTTCAATTTCAAGTCCCCGATAGGTTTGAATCGGCTTGAGCCGGGAATTTTAATCTCTGTTGCGGTTTCCATCACAAAGAGGGAGGACCTATGCTTGGTACAACTTTACAACCCCTTCCGACATGGGACCTGCGCAAACAAATTGTAGCAAAAACCCGTGAAAGCACGTCGTACCACCTTTCCAGAAGGTATGAAGGGCTAATGAACGGCTAATGCTGAGATAGCGTTGGCCAGGGGAGGCTACTGCTGAGATAGCGCTAGCCACCGGAGGCTAATGCTGAGATAGCGTTACCCAGTGCTGGGATATCATTAGTAGCTTCTGGTTGCTGGGATGTTGCTTTTGGTTTCCTGCCTGCCTAGGACCCCCTAGATATCATTTTCAAATTTATATATTCAAAACGAAATTACAGGAAGCAAATGGAATGACATGAAGGAATGCGAAAATGAAAGGACAATAGACGGAAGTATATTTTGTAGTAGACACCCGTTCCATCCTGATTTTGTAGTGCAGTTGGACTTCGCTTTCACCATAGACAACTTGGAATGCAAAAGAATCAAAGAAATCAAAGAAATAGAAAAATGACAGGAACATGGAAAGGACATGAATGCAATAGCTGACGCAAAAACAAAAGGAAATGAATCAACTCAATGAGAGAAAATGAAATGACAGTGCATTTTGTAATGGACACTGAGACTGATTCCATCCTGATTTTGTTTTTCGGTGGGCTTTCCCTTCAAACGCAATAAATGAAAAGCCAGGAAATGAAACAGCCAATGAAACTGAAATGGCAGGAAATGAGTGCACAAACCAAAGCGCAAAGAAATCCGGGCAAAAATGAAAGGACCATGAAGCAAATGAATGCCACAAAATGTCAAGAGAATCAAAGGACATGACATGAACGCAAAAGTACAGGAACATGGAAGGAAATGGATGCAAAGATGATGAGCGTGAAAGGAAATGTAGGTGTGAAGCCCCCATCTTCCAGGCGCATCCACCTGCATTTCGTAGCACAAAGCTTGCGGTTCCAAGTTCCAAGCATACAAAGCACAGCGTGAAAAGGTTTTTGTGCTACAGAATGCTTTTGCCAACCGGACAGGATGATGAATTTTAGGCATCCATTTGGCATCCACGCAAGTCCATGCTCATTCTGGCTACTTGAGTGCCATGCCACTTTGACTTGGGCCGCCAATCTGTGAATGTGAACAGCTAAGGAAGAAGAACAAACCTAGCAGAGTCAGGCAGTATGACTTCTTATCTCTGTTTCGCGCTTTCCGTTTTGCACAGCACCTGTGAAATGCGAGCAGGACATAACCTGGGTTATTTGTGTTGTTACTATTGTGTTGGCAGCTGCGGCTGGCACTGCGCTGTTGTGGCAATGTCAATGTCTCACCGTTTGATTTTGGATGAAATTGACTTTACAAATTTAAATTTTGCGCTGATGGATGATGGATGGCCTCTTTTTACCAGCTGTGGCTCCAGTCGAAAATGTAGTCTTAGTCAAGATTCAATAGCTGCAACCATGTCAACCCATCATCCAGATTCCATTGGCTCCATACTTGTTCGGTCCAGTCCGTAAGTTTTAGCATGTTGCAGAAATTTCATGCATGTCTGGCATTTCATGGACAGAGTGTGCTTGTGAGCACTGAAACTGAAAGGCTCATTGCTCCACACTATCCAAGGCAACACTTGCTCATGTTACCTTTGCCAGGTGAATTTGGACACCCGGTTGTCCGTCGGCCAGATACTTCCATCCGACAAGGACCGGGGCCTTGCTATTTGCAGTATGTGACAGCAACATGCAGAACTTTCGGATGGCAACTTTACCAAGACCAAGAGCTTCATGAGCTTCTTTGAATTTCAATTTGAAGCGCGTCATTCGGTAATTGCTTTGGCTTGGGGCTTGGCTGTTCTGGCTTAATAGATATTTAAACAAAAACTCAGGCCGCCCCTTTGTGCTCTTCCCACCTCCCAACCAGGTGCAACATATGCCTCCCAGCATAGGATTAACATGTCATACGGCAAAGCTTTGAGCCCAAACACAAACTACTGCCCAAACTGGAAACGGGTTTGACTTTGAGACTTGACGCTCTTAGAGAGATGGGCGAAAACCCCTTCGTAAGGAATCTTTTGACAAGTTTCTGGAGCCAGATGGATGACCGCTGGAGATCCAGCTCTATGTGGCTGAGCAGGTTTGGTCCTCATCATTCCAGCCGCCAGCCAGTCTTGACTTGGTTGTGTTTGATCTTGCTGGCAAGTTGATTCATTGAAACTGACACTGCTTTCGAAAAAAGAAAGGCTAATTAGAAATTGTGGGCCACTTAAGGCTGAAGAACACTTCATGGTCCAGCGTCCACAGGCACAAAATTCTCGGTCGCCGGAGTTACACTTCCAAAAGGGGAATGCCATGCTTATCTGATATGGTAGTACTTGTCACTGTTCACTGTTGGTTTCCTGTGCACATGGATCAAATTGCATGACCTACTTGAAATTAAAATCAGAAGTCATAGCAGACACTTGAGATTTGAAAAAAGTCGATAATTGCTCTCATGGGTCGCGCAATGTGGCAAAAGATTGGTATTTGCAGATTTATTGCTCGCAGGTCTCTTTCAAAAACAGTGGGCGCTTGCAGAACTTTGCAGCCATGCGCACTGGCAACTTGGTGATGATGGACTCCGTGTATTGCAGACTTGCAGGTTCGACCCGCGTTCACATGTGGCAAATGTGGTGAATCTGTCACTAATTTATGAATCATATAAGGATCATGTGCCACAGTGCCATGGGACTTTTTTGAACAACCGAAAGTGTTTACCAGGTACAGTGGCAACTGTTTGGGGCTTGAAACCCCAAACGCTAGAGAGTATATTTAAGCTACAACAAACCCAAGCCATGCCCCAAACATCCTATCATCCTAGACCCTTAATCCTAAACCCTAAACGGAAGCCTAAACCCTAAAAAGCATTCTAAGGCTTAAACCCTAAACTCTAGGGAAAATGTTTTACTAACAAGTATGTGGGG